AGAAAGGCATCAAAACACACTACCTCACCTCCAAGAAATGTTTGGGAACATGGAATGACTGAACATTCCAAACAAGCACTAAGCCACTCTCCCAGGGGGCCACCAGGTGGCAGCCTGATACACTGGAAGCCCAGGGAAATCAGCCACCTCACCCAAGGATTCCCTGGTGGACACTGAAAATAGGACAACAGGGTGATTGTGGGGATCTATCAAGGTGCTGCCCAAAAAAGGGGGTATTTCACTATACTCGACTCTTTTCCTGTACTGTCTTTTTAACTGAAGTTTCTCATGTGGTCTCGGTCCTGAGATATCTGCAAAGTGTGTGATTAACTGAAATTACAGTCATCATCATAATATTCAATATACAAACAATAAGCAACGGTTTCAACCTCAACAAGCTACACTGTAGGACTGAGAACAGGAGATGCTTTTTCACCCACAGGGTTATTAACCCATTGCACCGCCTACCCACCAAAGCCGTAACTACGAAAACTGTGTTGAGTTTTAAAATGTACCTGGAAATGATCAAGGTAAATGGAGGGACCTTAGACAAGCCGCCGGCTTCCTGTCCTCGTCAAGGCCACTAGGATTAATGGCCCTCAGGTAACTAGGGTTAGTGGCCCTCAGGTAAAACAGATAAATATAATTAGTGTAACAAGGTATTTAGTAGTACAGTACAGTACTGTAATTGGGAAGTTATTGTTCACAGCACTGATATTAGAGAGAACTCAACCCCAAATGTACAGCGTGTTGAACATATTGTCTCTATAAATTACAGAGTGCTAAATATTAATGCAGTAAACCTCTTGTATTGCAGGAACGGAGTTACGCTCGTTTTATAAACCGCACCCAGCGAAATGTTGACGTCTTGTGGGTAGATTTTCAAGGAAACCACCGTAGATACAAAGTACTGTATGGTTAATTATTTCATCACTTAATTTTAAGTGTAGATTATTTTGTGCTGTATATTCAGTATTGAATTTGTTTGGTTTACCTTATGAATTTATCTTGTTTGAGAAAATACTGAAGTAGATCAGTGGGATCAGGCCCAAGTCCCTGGACTCATTGGTGCTTATTTTGTTTATTTCTGAGCTAGAGCACTCAGTGGCTTCCTTAGACAATTGCCAGCTCTTCCTATGGACAGGACCACATACAGCCAGGCTATGTCAACACACTCTACACAGCAGTAATCTTTTCAAATTTCTCCACTTGGTTATAGTGAGATAGGCAGCTCCTTGCTACTGTGTTGAAAATGTAGATGTGGACATCTGGTGGTGGTTGAGTGTAGGCTGGACAAATGAAGCAAATGGCAGTTTAACAGTTTTGCCATTTTGAACAACTTTGAGCCGACATGCATGTATCGGTTCCATACTGTTTCTTTTTGATGCCATGGTCTAGCCACTGCGATTGGTTGGTATAGTGGCAGCCTTGCTTCTGGCAGGTTGGTATAGTGGCAGCCTTGCTTCTAGCAGGTTGGTATAGTGGCAGCCTTGCTTCTAGCAGGTTGGTATAGTGGCAGCCTTGCTTCTAGCAGGTTGGTATAGTGGCAGCCTTGCTTCTGGCAGGTTGGTATAGTGGCAGCCTTGCTTCTAGCAGGTTGGTATAGTGGCAGCCTTGCTTCTAGCAGGTTGGTATAGTGGCAGCCTTGCTTCTGGCAGGTTGGTATAGTGGCAGCCTTGCTTCTAGCAGGTTGGTATAGTGGCAGCCTTGCTTCTAGCAGGTTGGTATAGTGGCAGCCTTGCTTCTGGCAGGTTGGTATAGTGGCAGCCTTGCTTCTAGCAGGTTGGTATAGTGGCAGCCTTGCTTCTAGCAGGTTGGTATAGTGGCAGCCTTGCTTCTGGCAGGTTGGTATAGTGGCAGCCTTGCTTCTGGTAGGTTGGTATAGTGGCAGCCTTGCTTCTGGCAGGTTGGTATAGTGGCAGCCCTGCTTCTAGCAGGTTGGTATAGTGGCAGCCCTGCTTCTGGCAGGTTGGTATAGTGGCAGCCTTGCTTCTAGCAGGTTGGTAAGCCTGGCCACATATCCCTTCCATGAAACAATATACTGTATATAATCAAATGATTTCCTTTCCTTCGTCGATCTCGTACTGTTTTTATTTGAAATTGTATTATTTTTTGCCCTAGGTACTAGCCCCAGGGGAAATTTATAAGATCAACACGTTCGTTACACACCCGTGGGTGTTCCGTGACTCCGAGACAACTGCCGCCCTTGTGGTCAACTCGGAGGAGGTCTTTTACCCCAAGGTACCGTGTGAGCACCAATCTTTGTTGAACATGTGTATGTTGCATGGCATGTGTTGTATGTGTGTGTTTAAAGACCGGTTTGCTAATACTGTACAGTGAACATTTAGTACCAAAAAATACTTGTAATTAGTGAAATAGATACTGGTACTGCAACTAAATTGTTTTATTGCTTTTTACTGACACAAAATATAATAAAGTTAGAACAGTATTTACTACTAAAAGCTCAAGAATATACAAAAATGGAGACAAATTTTCATTACCGGGAATTGCTGTATGAAGCTTTTATCAGATTTCATTGTGAATGTTCACGGATGCAGACATATATCCACATTTCAGTGGTGATCTAATAGAAAATGTGTTTCGATTTGTTATAAAGAGGTTGTGATTTCTGAAGGTGACATTGTCCACGTACTGTACTGGCATCTTTACGTTGGAATAGCCCTTAATACACACTTTGCTCTAAACAGTTTGGTTTAAAGAGACTCCTCTGGAATTCATTGGGTAAATTCCATTGAAACAAATTTTTGTCTTTAGTATTTTGTGCAAGTTGGTGCTAACCTTCATTTCTGACCCACCCTCGTGGTGGCGTGGCAGTTACTGAGTAATGATTACCTAAGTGTATTACAGGAGGAGCGCTATGCCCACAATTCCTGTATTCACAATAATCTTTGTCACGCGACATTTTTGAATTAGTGCTATTCATCTTTTGCATCCATGAGAGATTGTTGAAATGCATTTTATGTTTGCTTCTATGAAATTTTATATATATTAAGTTGATAAAAATTATGAATTTCTACTAGGTTAGTAGCAGTACCTTGAGTAAATCTTTGTAGCAGGACATAGATCGAACCAGCATCCTGGGTAACCCCAGACTTAACCTTAACCAGTAGACTACGGTATGCTAAAGGCTGCACAACTTGAGATCCGCCTGGATCTACTAGGAATCTGGAGGCACTGAACTGGTAGTCAGTCCAAACTTTACATACGACCCCAAAGACGTTCCTGTGTTATCACGTTATTATGCATTCATCGAGTACCTCAAGGCTCCACCCAACAAAATATAGTGAAATAAGTAGATTATAAAGACACTAACTTGTATAAATAACTACAGTATCAAAGTTCAAATAATTGAAAGGTACAGAGTATACCGGTATGCAAAAGAATCGTTTGCAGTTCTGGTATGTCAGTAGCTGTCTCCTGCACCTCATTGAAAATCTTTACATTTATTTTCTCAGTTTACTGCCATGTGTGGCCATTTATGTGTATAAGTAAAGAGAAGAAGAAATTAACTGGCAAGAGATGGGTGCCATGAGCAAGATTTATTGTATTCTATAGATGTCCAGTCGAACCAAAAACTAAAGACACTTTCCTCATCAGTTTTCATGACCTAATAAACTTTTGGTTATGAAATTCTAATAAAGTTCAGAATTTTTCACCAAGAATTTGAAATATTAAACTTAAACCTTTAATAAAGTTCATATTGAATAGTAAAGGAGGGTTGCATTATTGCATTTAGAACATTTGTTCATGAATTTTCTTAACTTTTTCTTTAGCCTGCATTACGAGAAGGGCAACAGCTGGTCGGCCAAGCAAGTCCGCTCCACATCCCCGTCTACATTTGCATCCCTCTGTACAGCCTGAAGGACAGAGCAGCACAGGTGCATTTATAATACTTTTTTGTCTGTTGTCTTCAGATAGTCTGACTCATTCCTAAACACAGTGTTGAGCTAACTTGTAGCATGCGAGTACCTTCTCCCAGAGGCTTGTTAACCCTTGACTGGCACAGTTATCTCCTCTACTCAGGACCCTTGAAGCTTACTGTACCTGCCCATCATGTCGGGCTTCCAGGAATCTTTTGTCCATTCCTTGATTGATCAGCTAGTAAAACTATTTTACCAGCTCCCTCTTCCCGGAATGGTGCTTGCGGTTGAATATTTATCAAGTTTTTTAACACAATTTTCTGTTGGTAATTTTGTATTTATGGGGAGGTACTGTATTGAAATGCCAGTTTCCATTATATTTCACTAGGGGGGGGTTTCTATCCCCCTCTCCCTTTCTCTTCCCTTCATCTCCAAGACTCTCCCTTTCATCCCTCTCTTCTCTCCATCCTTTCTCCACCTTTCTCCAACATCTCCCACTCTCACCATCTGTCTCATAAAATGTAATACTGTACTGAATTAATGTTTGATTTTAGTGGAGTAATGTAAGAAATGGAGGCCTGGTCGAAGACCGGGCCGTGGGGGACGCTAAGCCACAAAATTACCTCAAGATAACTTCAAGAAGAACCTAAACTCTAACCAGCCTATGTTCATCCTGTACCCCAGTTCATTCACCCCTGCAAAGTTGGGCGAGGCTAGCCCCAAGCAGCTGGCATACAACCTTGGACAGACACACGCATTTATAAACATTCTTTTATATATTTGCTGATTGAAATGGTGTGGATGACTGCTGGAGTGGTGGTGCACGAAGAGCACTATATACTTGGTCTTGTGAAGGGGTGGGCTGCTGCTGTGGACAACTGCTGGAGTGTGACGGTGCTTTCCTGTATCCCAGATGCTCTATACTCCTGTGAATGACGTCAAGAATGGACACGTGATACGCATATAGTTTGTAAATATCTGTAACCTTTCACTACTGTATGTTATTGTTCAGTTTCTTGGGCTAATGTCTCCCTGCCCCATGAAAGTGGTAAAGAAAGAAACATTCATTTACCATTACTGGCATTACAGTGAATTATATCTTCCTTCTGACAGGTTGTGCGATCGTGTCTGCAGTCCCCAGAGGCTGCGTACACTCTTGATATCCCCCGAGTCCTCATGCACACAATAGCAAAGTGGGGAACTTGAAGACTTTATTTTGGTGTCAAGAGCATTTTCCCATTACTGTACTATACATTGTGAGTATAAATAGTTAATTGGCTGTTATTGTTAGCATCTGCTGGTTCTTGTTTATTTGTGATAAGTAATGTAGATGATGTAATGATTGGATGAACGCCGTGTTTGTAGCATTGCATGCTGGTGCTCACCTTTGTTCTTTGATGATGTTTCCCCGCCCGGTGATGATTATCATGTTACATACATTACATTCTTGTACATTGTGGATAAATATGTGGATAATCATGATTTATCATGTGGATAAAGTCCACCTGGTAATCAGAAAACGGGCCAGGATAGTGATTAGAAGAGTGCAAGAAACTAATTTCGGTGAGAACAAGGTGAGTTCTCTGTAGTAAGAGAGATGGTGAATTAACTCTTTATTGTACGCAAGTTTTTATCTTGCCCCTTTCGCTAGTCGAGTCAATCCTCGGGGTTTTCAATGCAAGAAATTGGCAGTTGTTAACTTGGTATGGTAACGAAACCAGTGTTGGATGCTGTGTATAATGTTTAAGGTGTGTCCTCTAGTCTGAAAACTTTAAACTACAGTATCTGAAATATTTAGAGAAGATTTTTATGGGCTGCTGCTCCTTGAAGAAAGGTGTTCCCCCGAGGCATCAGTGTGTAGAGTGAGTGAAAGATTTACAATCTATTGCTTACATTTAAAATCATATTAAATTTATATTTTCTTGTTTCTAGGTGAACAATACAAAGGCAAAAATGACTGGAAAAGGAGGACTTGAGAATGTTAACCCACAGGTTTTTGCCAAGGCCAGTCAGAGAGTGGAGAGTTCAACAGACTGGGACGACGATGTTTATGACCCCTTTGATGCCAGGGAAGTCTTTGATTTGGTGCGGAATATACGCGATCCGGAACATCCGCTAACATTGGAAGAGTTGAACGTTGTAAGTTATTAGTTTGTGTTTATTAGCGAGTTTGTCTTGTCGTCACTCTCCAGATGACTCCATCCAGCATTATTCTCTACCACCTCTCATATACTGTTCACTCTCTTATACCTGTACTATGACAAATTCAAAATTTTGATTTTGGATTTTTTTGGGAAATCTCTTGCAAAAAAAAAAAAAAAATATATGTTTGGGTTCCAGAACGACATTTCTAGATCATAAGTGATGCAACCATTCTGTATCAACAAAATATTTCTATTACCTACAGTAAAATAGGTTTTATTATTTATTGCATAAGGCAACTGAGGTGCAGGATAGCCAGGAATTAGTCATAATTGTTTATTTGACTGAAAATAATATTTCCAATCATTATTCATTTCCAATTGATTGGAAATAATATTTACAATCTAAGTACTACTTAGATTGGAAATAATTTGTAGTTTAAAAATATCTAGAAATATTAGTCTATCGGTATAATATGTATAGCATATCTTCAGTGTTAAGAATTCATAGTTAAAAGGGTGACTCCCCTACTGTTTATATCACTTATTTGTTACAGGTAGAGGAGGACCAGTGCGAGGTGAACGACGCCAAGAACTCAGTGATGGTGCACTTCACACCCACTATCCCCCATTGCAGTATGGCTTCCCTCATTGGCCTCAGCATCCGTCTCAAACTATTCCAAGCTCTGCCGCCCAGGTTTGTGCAATCATGCAATTTAAGAAGTCATTTAAAAACAAAATTTCACTGAAATGTGTTCTACATTTTAGATATCTTATGTAGCCTAAAAAAATCATAATTCTTGACTGTATAAAAATACATTTTGAATATTAGCAGTTAAAAATGGCAGCTAGGTTTAATTGGTAGGTACAATCCTGGTTATTTACAGTACTGTATAACTCGTTTCTATTTTACATTCATCTACAGGTTTAAAGTGGACGTGTGCATCTCGCCCGGGACCCACGCCTCCGAGCACGCCATAAACAAGCAGCTGAATGACAAGGAACGTGTGGCTGCAGCACTGGAAAACCCTCACCTTTTAGAAGTTATCAACAAGTGCCTGAACCCAAGAGGCCAAGCATAATAGTTGGCCAGTCAGGATGGACTGACAGGGAAACATCAGGGTTACTGTCTAGTGCATCTTGCATTTAAAACAAAATGTTGCTTGCCTCTACTAACTTCCATCTTGACTTTAACGTGATACAAGTGTATGACATGCTACAAAACGTGCCATACCCTTTGCTTTATCAATTACAGAACCTTGCTTAGTTTTGTCTTTTATTGACAAATTATTGTTTTTTTTAGAGAGAGTCCATTAAACACAATATCTCAAAAATACGATGAATTTATGTTTGTACATTAAACAATCTTGGTCTGTATAGGTATAAATAAAGCTTGTTGCAAATGTCTTGGTACGGCCAGGAATTCATGACTACTGTCTCTAAATATAATTAAATTGGATATTTGGATTTATTTTTATGAATTATAATTCTACTACAGTACAAACTGTATTCATAATAAAATCCTAAGCTACAAATATTCTGTAAGCCTTTACAGAGTAGGTCAGGATTTTACAAAATTTAACAAACTGGACTTTCCTCTGTGATAAGTAGGCACAATATGAGGACACACATTGCACATTGTAGAGAGAAGACTCCCCCCCCCCCTCCCAAAAATAAAGCGGCTCTACTTAAAAGTTGAAATATTATAAATAATTAGGATTTCTTGTATATATTATTCCATTAAATGTTGTACTGCTTTTAACCAGTTCCACTATAGTACAGCACAAATATTACATAATATATGCCTGGGTACTGTATTTGTGTGTGTGTGGGAGTATCAGTTTATATTATTGTCCAACCCCTCGTACGACACTGATTTGATTCTCGCTAAATAACACATTCTAATCATTACCTCTTTTCCAACTTTCATGGGTCGGGAAGCATTAGCCATCATAAACATACAGTAGTACACATATCAAAATGTCCTTCCTGTAACTCCTTCACCACTTCCAGCTTTATATATTTGGTATTTTAACTTTCCATACAAATACAGTGGGCCTGGTTTCTACGGAGTGGGGGCCCCAAATCTGAGGCTATTTATATAAATACTGGGAATGCAGCGCTGACTGCCCCACATAATGTTTACCAGTACAGTAGTCACATCATCTGAAGCAAGTTCTGTTCAGTTATTAAACCACTTTTGTTTTGGGCAACCTAAATCACAATATGATGATTACAGTATCTGTAATTATTGTAAATTACAATTATCTGTAAATAACATTTACAGATAATTTACACAAATTATTATTAATTTACACAAATTTGAGGAGATAAATATTCATTAAAACTTGAACAGTTCGCCAGTTCTAAGAAATGAATAATAATCTTACTAAATAAAAGCTAATTGGAAAATTTCCTCCACCTTCTTCAACAGAGATAAGTTAAGGCTTTCTTTTACACCATTATGTAAATCATCAAATTATTATACCTATAATTTACAATAATAATGACTAGCTAGAGCATCTTCTAGATAATCATACTGCATAATCAATTTAAACAAGAATTTCTGCATTTATAAAAGTGGGAATTGGAATAACCAATAATAAAAAAAATATTAAAGTGGTTCATTACATATATAATAAATTTGTATCTTACAGAGAAACCACCAATAATTTACCATGTCTACGACTGGCAACTTCCTCCTGAATTATACGACGACTCACTCGTCACCTACCACACAATAACACCCATTCTAAATATAATGGAAAATCTTTTTATTTAAATTGCTATAAATGGCAAAATGAGAACCTTCTAACCCTTAAAGGTCATTTATCATCACATGATGTTCTCTAAGGGGCACCGGTCAATGTCACAATTTTGTTAAATTTTCACAGTGGTCAAAGCGACACGTTCTCCAGGTTTGGAGAACCGAGGTGGTTTTGTGACACGTGTAAACTGTGTGTAATTACCAAAGTGTTTTACATTGGTTACCATAAAAGAACCTCCTTATATGAGAAAACAAAAACATTTTATGTGACAGCTCTGTATGCAAAAGTACTGTAAAAAAAAAAAAAATATATACATTATCATTACCCAGTTTTCACTGCCACAGAGTGGATATTTTGGAGTGTGGTCAAATCATACACAAAACAGTTCAACAAAGTATGCAGACGATAAGCCACAATAACGTGGCCGAAGACATGAACACTAAACTACACATCAGATGAGGAGACGGCGACGTTTCAATCCGTCCTGGACCATTAAAAAGTTCAACAAAGTGCATATTCTGATTGTCAAAATTGTGTATTTCATTAGGTTACGATGTATTAGCTTAGGCTAGGCTCAGTTGAGTAAGGTTAGGTTAGGCTAGGTTAGGTTAGGTTAGGTAAGGTAAGGTTAGGTAAGGTAAGGTTAGGTAAGGTTAGGTAAGGTTAGGTTAGGTTGGGTAAGGCCAGATAGGTTATAAAATCTGTTGGCCAACTGTCTTGTGTATGATATGACTCGTATCCAAAATTTTGTTCCAAAAGCTGGTCAATGACAGACTTCCCGGGAAACACAAACCGAAACTCTCTCTATTTTCCGCTTGTTACAACTTGTAATAAAGTTGTTACATCTCGGCTTAACGTGTTTATGACGTATTAGAACGTTGTTACAACTTGCTATATTGGTTGTTATAACTGGTTAGCAGGTGTTAAAACTTGTTCAAACGTTGTACCAACGTCGTAGTTTCGGTGTGTGTTTGGCGGGTTGCTCTTGGTTTACACCTAACCTTCAAGGGTTATGTACTGTAATACAGTATATAATACACACACATGTTTACATTCCATCTAGGCTATTCGGCTTTACATACACACCGGCACACCTCTACTTCACTGATGGATACAGTCAACAATACTTCTACACAAAGAGGCTACTGTATTCAGAGTAATGAGTAAACTAAACATTCTACACTCTGTTAACGTGTGCCAAAAAGATATACAAATTATAACATTTTCTTGCAATAAGGAATAACTGGTAAGCAAATGATTCTCAGTAATTGAAAACTTTCTTCTTCCTGGACTAGAAAAGGAAAAGTCTAGAACCCATATAATGAACAAGAACCCAAGTGATGAACATGTTTAGAACCCAAGTGATGAACAAGTCTGGAACCCTAGAACTCACAACGACAAGTCACCACCAGAAACAGTACGGCTTCACAACTAAAACAGCAAATATAAAGACTTTAATTCTTTTGTTTAACACTCCAAGAGCAACATATTTTTGCTAAAATTACTAAAATATACCCAGGCAGGATTACCAAATATACCTGGCCAGGATCGCCAAATATAGTATACCTAGCCAGGCCTACCAAATATACCCGACCATTTTGGGTTGTGTTTAAACATTGTCGGTGACTGTAATACTCTACTGTACTTATAATACATAAATCCTCTATGTCTTATTTCTTTTCAATTATAAAAGTTAAAAAAAAAAATTGTCTGCAAAATATTCCACTTCAAGTGGAATAAAATACTATAGAGCTTTAATGAAAACTTCGAACTCAACACACAATGTGTATGTAAATCTTTATCTTCGTAGAAAATTCAGTAGCGTATTAAGGGAGACAATAGAGTACCATCAGGCTGAATATTATACAGTACTGGTACTTACTTTTTTCTTTTGGAGTTTCAGTTCAAAATTATTAAGGTATTTTTGACTACAGTTGAACTGGCATAACTTTTGCTGGTGCTGAAGTCAATTGGTGCATGTGTCCGAACTGTGAGCATACATGGGCAAAACTACAAAAATATATTAACAAATTTAAAATTCTTGATTTTTTTTGCAGGTATTCTAGGCAAGGGCACAGGCCCACCGCAACCTTGGTTCACTCCCTAAATCTTTTCCCCCATTTACCCTCACACCTTCAGGAATCATATATGGTATACAGACGAAGAGTCACAATAACGTGGCTGAAATATGTTGACCAGACCACACACTAGACGGTGAAGGGACGACAACGTCTCGGTCCGTCCTGGACCATTCTCAAGTCGAAACGTCGTCGTCCCTTCACTTTCTAGCGTGTGGTTTGGTCAACATATATGGTATACCTCTTATATAATTTCAGTATCACACAAAAGCATGGAAACTTATTATCTACATCATCTCATAAGATTACAGTTAAAAGCATTAGCAGCAGCAGCACATTAAAGCATCGACCTTATATTTCAACTAGTGATCACCACGGGTGTACTACTGGATTCAGTGCATCACAGCTCTCGTTACACAGACTTTTGTAACTGGTACTCTTTAGGTAGGTATGATTATATATATATATATATATATATATATATATATATATATATATATATATATATATATATATATATATATATATATATATATATATATATATATATATATATATATATATATATATATATATATATATATATATATATATATATTAATCTTCATTCATCTTATATATAATAAGTTCTATTTATCTCCTTATTGTGCCTCATTCCTCTCTGCAACTTCAACCCGTTCTCGCACTTGCTTACAGTCAATATTGGCTTATTTAATAAATGAATATGTGACATACTAATTGATTGTGAATATTTTAATTAGTATGATTCACAATCAATTAGTATGTCACATATGCACTTATTAAATAAGCCAATATTGACTATAAGCAAGTGCAAGAACGGGTTGGCAACTTGATGCAGGCCACAATATCTATTGATAGAAATGCAGGGAAATATTTTTCACACCTTTAAGTATTAGATACTTACAATAAGAAGATAGATAATTGGTATTACAGTAAACATACATATACACACACAACAAGGTAAAATGGCTTGTGAAAGTATAGATTCTTGCGATTAAATGGTACATTCTTGCAAAGTCACCGACACACGCACAGCATTTTGGGTAAGTCAGAGCTAACATAAAATTTGCAGAGTCTTACAAGATAAAAGATGAAACAATGCCTATGTGGTTAAAGTGTAGTCTTTTGGTGTTAATGTGAGGATATCAATATCAGGTGAACCGTGCAGTAATTACAGCCCTTTTATACCTGGCTCCCATTCCACACTCTGGCCCCTGAAGAACTCCTCGACCAATGTAGAGGTACAGTGGAACCTCGAGTGTCGAACGGCTCCAGTTACGAGCATTTCGAGTAACGAGCAAGCCACTTGCAGAAAATATGTCTCGACTGACGAGCTTTCGCTCGATTAACGAGCGTTCCCACTGGTTCTCGGACACCACCGACCACAGTTTTGTTGTTTTGCAAGACGAGTTTTGCACATGACGAGCTCGGTGCCGGAACGGATTAAACCCATTAATCGAGTTTAATCCGTAAGTACAGTAATCCACTGTACTTACAGAAGTTCCGAGCTCGCTGGCCAGCTGCACAGTGAAGTGCCATCTAATGAGTTTTAAGGCATTTGGTCAGATCTGAGCAGACATGATGTTTGTCTACACTTGGTGAGCAGACATGATGTTTGTCTACACTTGGTGAGCAGACATGATGTTTGTCTACACTTGGTGAGCAGACATGATGTTTGTCTACACTTGGTGAGCAGACATGATGTTTGTCTACACTTGGTGAGCAGACATGATGTTTGTCTACACTTGGTGAAATCATCTTGCTGCTGCCATCAGCAGATGCATCATTAATAAAGATAAGTGAGCCAGTTGCAGTAGTGGCTAGACATGCCGCCGCCACCACCAGGTGGAGTCCAATCACACTGCCCCCAAAAAGGAAACTATGGATAAAAAGTGCTGAAATTTGTACATAGTTCACTCGATATGTTTGTAAATACTGTACACTAAAATTAAAGCTGAAAGTCTTCACGTTCCATAGGCATTATTTCATATAAAACCGACCAATGTTTGAGTATAGAGTTAAAACACCAAATAGTGTGCCACTCTCCATACACTTGTGGTGATACTGTACATTCTACACTATCACCGTAAGTATAAGTCACTAATACAACCATAAGCATACTTTACAATATATATGAATATATATATACTGTATATTTATATTTATTTTACATAGTATTTTACATATTACAATTATGATAGCATTGTGACCTGAGGCTCACTGGAACTTAACGATTAATCAGCATTGTTGACAATATTACCATATATATATATATATGTGACAGTAGTACCCTACATGTTCTTTACCAACGATAAGCGAAGGAAAGCCAGGAAAGTGTCGTGAACTGGGAAAGCTCTAAACCACCATTTGGTATCTCACCGTGACTGCTCTTTGTTATAGACAGACCTGGCAAGCTCTCGGACCACTCCCACACAACTTCATTCCAAAACCCACCACAACTTCTATATGAAGTTTCGCCTAAAGTAAATTTATAACAGAAGACTTGTAAAAGAACAAATCCACAAGGGCCGTGACGAGGATTCGAACCTACGTCCAAGAGGATCTCAGAGGTTCCCAGAGGCTGCCTTAATCGACGAGTTAAGTAGTAGAACTACTTAACTAAGAAGTAATAGGATCCGAGTAAGGTCAGTAGAACTTCCGGTTGCAATCCTTTTAACCATGTTGTAACCGAGTCGATTAAGGCAGCGTCTGAGATCCTCTCGGACGTAGGTTCGAACCCTCATCACGGCCCTTGTGGATTTGTTCATTTGATGCATCACGCTATTGTGATTTGTGTGTGTAATAGAAGACTTGTAATGTTGCCAAGAATGATCTTTACATATGGAGCTTGAGTCGGTGATACACAATCTTTCATATGACGCTGAACTCCGAGACAATGTGTACTATTTTGGTCCAGCCTTGAGAATGTGTACGTCAACCTCAGAATGATCACACCTCAACCATTAAAGACAATTTGTATAAAATTTACATTTGTGCATTCTATAGACAAAAATGTTTAACATCACTGTATATACATATTAACATTAGAGATTACACTCTTGCAGAGTCATCTCCAAGCATTTCATCTATTGTTTAATCACTGCCTACTAGCACGAGGGTGTCGTGTAGTACTGCATTTGTGGATTTAGGGATCACAGCTCTCCATTTATGTATGTAATTTAACCTGGCATCGTCGGGTAACCAGCCCGCTCTCTCTGTGCACCACTCTGTATAAAATACATTCTTCTTTGCCTAATCATAAATGCAAAAACTGCAACTCTTTCGACCTAACCTGAAACACACAAACCTAAGCAACCGGTCGGCCGAGCGGACAGCACTCTGGACTTGTGATCCTGTGGTCCTGGGTTCGATCCCAGGCGCCGGCGAGAAACAATGGGCAGAGTTTCTTTCACCCTATGCCCCTGTTACCTAGCAGTAAAATAGGTACCTGGGTTTTAGTCAGCTGTCACGGGCTGCTTCCTGGGGGGTGGAGGCCTGGTCGAGGACCAGGCCGCAGGGACACTAAAAAGCCCCGAAATCATCTGAAGATAACCTCAAGATAACCCAGATAACCTCAAGATAACCCAAATAACCTATCGAGGCCGCCGCAAAGAAAATGTCAATATTACGGTGCCTTAATATTTACCTTCCATTTTAATGAATTGGTCAATTGTGTAAAAAACCATATTAGGCGAGACGGCGGGCTGGCATTACATTACACAATAATATGTACAGTTACGTGTTCATTCATACAGCTACACGGTTAACTAACCAACTATATACTGACAGAAAAACACTTTTCACTCTTGTCTACTCATGCAGACAAAACCAACCCTTACATGTAAATTAGAATGAATAGTTAATAAAAAAAAATATACTTGACAGTAGTGGCAAATTCACTTGATACACTGTTTAACTGGTACTCTTTAGGTAGCCTTGATTGCTTGTACAGCATTAGAAGGATCGACTGTACACCTGAAAAACAAACCTGTATAAACCTGCTACAACATCTAGAAAGCTATTATGTACAGTATGAGGTTCGACCTACACACTTAGGAGTGCTACTCTAATGTTTGCAACCAGGGAAGCTACTCTGACCTACGTATTCAAAAAGATTGGCTTATAGATTGAATTGGCAGCCAAACCATAATTCAGAGGAAGCCGTATGAGCCATATATTTTGGTTGCAAACCATCAGATTAACTTTGAGATGCAATGACACAGTCTAGACATTACTTCATAACTCTCACAATAACACACATGCATGTGTCACGTACGAGCACGTCACACAGCAGACACCAGAATGTTCCTACAATGACAACGTCTACTTCAGTACGAGAGTTCAACTTCAAGTCAACACAGTGGAAAAAAATAGAGAGCGAGAGTTCGCACCTCCATTAAACTCTGCTATGCTGACCAACAACTGTGACCCGAAATATACCATCACAAGAAGGAAATAGTCGAGAAGTCAGGCAAAATAATTAGTCCTTATGGTAAGTTGGTCTTAAAAGTGAGGTGGTTGCTTCTGTAGGGTTTTATTTTACATTTGATTTTGCAAAGGATGATCTTTAATCAGTTGTAACAAGGAAAGGAGAAGCATTTGTAAATCAAATGCTCTCAAATCTTGAGGGATTTGAGGGCAATCAATTACAGCCTCTGCTCGTTTGTACTGCACCAAAATAACGGGTCAGGTGATAAACCATCATCCTGATGAGCACTTCCTTACTCTCAGCCCAGCAGTCATGGACAGTGATTGACTATTTAACTGCATCCAATCAGTGACACAGTCATTGTAGTATAAGCTGTATCACTATGGTCTTTCAGACTGCAGCTGAAGATTCTGTGTCCAGTGAATGTGTCCATCCCTTAGCCAATGTACTATGTGAAAGCAGTCAGGAGCGTTAAGTGTAACTCGAGCACAATTGTCCCAAGACAGGAATAACAGCAATACCTTTGACAAGCTGCTGGCATCCTGCCTTCGTCGAGGTTGTCAGCCATGGTGACCCTTTAGGTAAACATCAAGATAAAGATGTATCACTGCTTGATTATTCGATCATTTTAAAGATCTAACATGAACAAAAAATGTGAAGAATAAAACAATTTGGTGAATGATGCACGAGAGTAATACAAACAGTTGCTTCACATGTTGACCAGACCACACACTAGAAGGTGAAGGGACGACCACGTTTCCCTCCGTCCTGGACCATTCGACAATCGACTTGAGAATGGTCCAGGACGGACCGAAACGTCGTCGTCCCTTCACATTCTAGTGTGTGGTCTGGTCATCATACTTTAGCCACGTTATTGTGACTCATCGCCTGCATTTGCTTCACATGATTACAATAACGTTGTGATGCTTTTATAAACCATATGTGCACACACATCACTAACAACAACACACAGGGTTTGCACTAACAATAATCTGGATGGAATCATTTCCCAGCAAACCATATTCTGGACTGATGCCTGTACACAGAAACAAAGTACGGATTCTACTACCTTTTACATCTTGTCGTCGCACAATCATGCTTAACACTTACACTGCTCCAATTGACAGGTACATTTTTGCATTTAATTTGTTAACGTCTGTCATTTCAGACATGTGCACCTCAATTTAGCACTTTTAATGGGCTTTGCCATTCAGGGATTACAAGAAATGCAACACCTAACGGATCAATTTCTTGTCCTAGAACAGTTTATTGCTTTTAATACACACTCACCAACATGATTCCATCATCCAAGGGGTTATGTTACTCTCCCGACCAGGCTTTATGGAACACACCTTTCATTCTCCAAGAGTATTTGCATCAAGACACAATATGCATTCACAAAGTCAGAATCCAAGACTTTCCTGTCACTCTCTTCAAAATGAGATATTTAGCCTTCATTTTTAGAACCAAAAATTACTCTTAATATAAAATGAAATTACAAGAATGCATATAATGTATCCGAGGAGTTCAGGCACGAGGGTTAGATCCCTTCGTACAGCTTCAATATTTTTTCATTGGTCTTAATCTTGCCAAGCTCTCTCATCAGTGTGTACAACTGTATATGAATGATTTAATATGTATACAGATATACCTCGTGTGACGAGTAGCTCCATCTACGAGCATTTCAGGTAATGAGCGAGCCACTCGCAGAAAATTTGTCTCGATTGATGAGCTTCCGTTCAGTTTAACGAGAAAACCACATGGTGCTTCCTAGCGTTCCCGCTGGTTCTCGGACGCCTCCGACGACAGTCTTGTTTTTGTTTCGCAAGACGAGTGTGTCACATGACAAGCTCGGTACCGGAATGGATTAAATTTGTTAACCGGGGAACCATTGTAATGTGCTTTTTTAGTGCGGGCAAAGTTCTACTAACAGTAAGGAGCTCTTGATGTAAAGTTCGTAATGATGAACAGAGGACCTGAACTATATTCAACACAGCACGTAATACAGAACAAAAGGGCGATTGCAAAGCTCCATCACATGGTACAACTGCAAATTACTGCAACCCAACTTCAAGCTGATTTTTTATCCTGCTGTGTGCATATGTGACTTGTCTGCACTAGTAGTGGTAGCCACACTGGTGGTAGCCACACTTGTGGTAGCCACATTAGTGGTAGCCACACTTGTGGTAGCCACACTAGGAGTAGCCACACTGGTTGTACACACACCAGTGATGAAAAAGAAAGTTCCCTTGCCAACGACTGAACGTAATGCTTTTTAAGTTCATCATTGATGAGTATCAACAGCATAATTTTGTACACGACCTACTACCACCCACTGTATTCCCAAGATAAGTGTACATGTACTGTATATCATCTGTCTTTACATCATCACAGCTGTATGTATATGTCAAAAATAAACTTTTTGTAAAATATCACAAACAATATAGTGTTGTCACTCATAAAACAATTCTATCTGGAACTTACCTGCCACTACGGCAGCATGCTCTCACCGGGTTGCACAAGTTAGAGCAACCGTTTGCTTGTGTAGGGTAGGGACCATCATCTATGTTATCACAATACCAGAGATTTTCAGGCTGGAGAATGGGACAAGCACTGGTAAATATTTCTAGCCCTTCCCCTGTCAGTTGATAGCAACCACTAACATCAACACTACTTAGGTTATTGAGGACTCCGGCGTACACCAACGACATAAGACCTTCGTCCGTAACCCGCCAGCAGCCAGATAAACTCAGACGTGCAAGTTGCACTTGTGAATAATTATTTGATATGGGCTTGAGGGAATGAGTGGACCTAGAAGATTGATAGGTTTGATTCCTACACGACAAAGGTGCAGGCATAATACCCCAAGATGCACCATTCCTAGGACAGCAACAAATCTCCTCAATGTCCCTTTCAACGTGAAGAGCCGAAAAATTAGATACTGCCGTTGTTTCTGAAGGCAGAGAGCATCTGTTGCTCACGGAATTATTTTGAATGTGATACTCCTCCTCTCCCTCCTCTAGTACACTGGTATTAATGTGCTGGCTTACACTGTGACATGGATTATCCACACAGTAACCAGTTTTCCAGAAGAGGTCCGTCTCTACACCAGCTAGCGGTGACGTGTCGACGTGAGCACACCAACACCTACAGTAGCCATAGTACTGGTACGGTTCCCTGTCACCCTTCAGAGGCCACTCCTCCTCACTATAGGCATCTTCATTATAATGGACGTCTTCAGGCATCTCAACATACTGACTGAAGTCATTTGAATGACAGTGTAGTGTGTCGGCCTCGGGATACTGACTTGAACACTGTGCCAAGTATTCTAATGCAAGATCATCAATCATTTCACAACCTTGTAGATCTAAAACCCGAAGTTTCTGCAAACATCCCTTGAGCCACAATCTGAAATTTTAGTAATGCATAATACTTCATTTATAAACAATGTTAAAAATAAGTTCTTAATTTATATAGTTGATATAAGTTTGTGCATTACAGTACAGTATAAGATTAAAGATATACAATTCTATCACAGTTTTCTCAATGCCTGTCAGCAACTAATAACCGACTGGAAGACTTTCAACCGTGAATATATACATGAAGATTAACTGTTCATTAACTATTCCCAACACAGTAATCTTGAGAAAATAAAAATTAACTATTCCCAACACAGTAATCTTGAGAAAATAAAAATTAACTATTCCCAACACAGTAATCTTGAGAAAATAAAAATTAACTATTCCCAACACAGTAATCTTGAGAAAATAAAACCGAGAGGTTTTGTTTTTGTCAACAATAGGTTGCAGCAGAGACAATTCTGATACTGGAAGAGAGGATCACAATGCCTGGAGGGAGATTACAACACTGGAAGAGGATTCCGACACTAAAAAGAGGATTCTGACATTGGTAGCAAGGATTCTGATACTAGAAAAGAGGATTATGACACTGGAAGCAAGGATTCTGATACTAGAAAAGAGGATTATGACACTGGAAGCAAGGATTCTGATACTAGAAAAGAGGATTCTGACATTGGAAGCAAGGATTCTGATACTAGAAAAGAGGATTATGACACTGGAAGCAAGGATTCTGATACTAGAAAAGAGGATTATGACATTGGAAGCAAGGATTCTGATACTAGAAAAGAGGATTATGACACTGGAAGCAAGGATTCTGATACTAGAAAAGAGGATTATGACACTGGAAGCAAGGATTCTGATACTAGAAAAGAGGATTATGACATTGGAAAGCAAGGATTCTGATACTAGAAAAGAGGATTCTGACACTGGAATGAAGTTCAAACTTACCCTTTAAAGGAACAGTAGTCAATTTGGGTGTGAGCAGCAGAGAGCGTTGTGAGGTTGGGACACAGCAGGAGCGCCTGGTGCAGCAGGCGTGACGTAACACCGTGGCCGGCATCCACCACCAGGGTGTACACGCCCACTCCCACACGAGGCAACACCCACTGCACTAAACTGAAAAAAGGTTTTACGATGTGTAATATTTTTGCGGCACGCAAAAGTTAACCCCCATGCTATGGACAGAAGCTGACGTCCAAATTTATTTTTTCGTCTGGATCAATTCTAGCTAATAACTGTACAAATATTCTTGCCTACCTCTTATACATCTGGGTCAACTGTGAACCAGATGAGTCTTAATTTATAATTAAATTAATTCATGTTGTCGTGAAGAGACAGCCTTAACATACGCTAATCGAGGTCTCCCCTAAGCTAACTAGGGACCATTCCCAGGATGCAAGTCACAACAGTTCTCAAACTCCCTGTTATCTCTACTGCAAGGTGAACAAAGGCATCAGGTGAAAGGAAACATACCCAATCATTTCCAACTTGTCTGCACAGCCAACTACAAGGCAAAACTCACCAAGCAACCATCATTAAGGAGGTTGCCAGATGGTTGCAAGAAGCACAAAGTCTTAATTCTGCACAAGGAAACATTCTTACATTTATTATTTTCTTGTATAGTATTTCAGAATGATAGTACATATAAAGGCAAAATGCTATTCTTTACTACAGAGTTGCTTCCCTTACTTAATACCATGATGTATCGGTCCCATGGTGGTGTAGTAAGCACAGTCGAGTCACCGATGAAAGATCTCGGCTTCAATTTCCATAGTAAAACAGAACCATTTTTCCCCACATTTACATACAATATGTCACAAGGAACAATCAATGTGCAATATCCCTCAGGCTCTTAGCACATTAAAATGAAAAGTTGTTTGTGCCCTACACATTCTTCGTTAATATTAGCTCTATCTTACGAGATAAAAGGAGCATGCATGGCTCTGTTTGGCCTAACCAAAGACAGCGAGTTTTAACTACAAAATAATTAACATGTACCTTTCGAGAACAAAGTGTTCTTGATCAGCAAGCGGGTCTCTCTCCTCCTCGGCCTCGTCAACGTCAGCATCCTCGTCCCACTTGCCGAGACCTTCCCGACCTTTCTTGCTCAGCGCAGCATCCTCTAAAGCCTGGCTCAGCCCAACATCTTCAGCCTTCCAAATGCCTGAGCAAGGAGAGTAATGCTCAGCAGACAGATACTGGAAAGGATATTGTATATTTCACTGTAGCAGGGGGAAATATACTGTATATTTCAATGTAGCAGGGAAGAAGGATACTGTATATTTTACTGTAGTAGGGAGGGGAAGGGTACTGTACATTTCACTGTGGCAGGGGGTAAATATACTGCATGCGATGCTGGATGCTGGTAAATATACTGGATGTAAATATACTGGGAGCAAGGGATGGATGCTGTATAGTTCACTGTAGCAAGGGAAGGATACTGTATACTTTCTCCTAGCAAGGGAAAGCTGCCGTATACTTCACCTTAGCAAGGAAAGGCAATGTTAGATTAAACACAGATCAGGCTCTCATACCACTATACCATTAACATTCCTTACCTCTAGCCCACTGGACTGGGTAGAGGGCCTTCCACAGCGAGGGAGAAAAGGCCGCAACATTCCAAGCCGAGCACACTTGGGCACACCTGCCCAACTCTGGAGGAGTCAAGTACTGGAATATCTCCACCAGAACCTCAACCGGTAAGCTCGACACTTGCACGTCCTCGGGCGTCGGCACGGAACAGCTATCCGATTTCTCCAAGTAGTTGGTGTCAAACGTAAACACATCTGGCGAGTTACCGCACCGAAGGTCAGGCAAGGTGTATGCGTGTATGTGTCCGTCATAACCGTGAGTGCACGGTTCGTGTTCAGTGATGGCGGCCTCTGACGTCTCGCAGTACTCCTTAGCATTGAATGATTCCTCAAGGGAGCACAGATCCCAGTCCAAGTCCCGCAGGTCCTTAACTATGTCGCTAATTTCCGGTTCCTCCTTGTGTGCCTTCTCGTACGACTGGCGCTCTTTAACTAACTCGTGCTCCTTCAACACGGCTTCCTTCAGAATTTTCAACTCGTCATAATCAAAATATTCTACCAGTAGAGGCTGTGGAGAGAAGAATTGTGGTAACTCAATACTCCACATATTGTAGTTTCACAATCATGCAAACACTAAAGAATAAAATACTGTATAAACACTATAAATTTAAGCTGAAAACTAAAATGAGAACATGGGTGCTCCAGGGGCAACCGGAAGGACAAAGAGATGAGACAGTGCATGAAATATGACTGTCAGGTGTTTCATACAAGGAAAGACATGGTCCAAATGGTCAAACTGTAGAGGCTGGAATGTCAAGATGTTTTAACGTGCATACAAGAGTGAAGTAGATTGAAGAGGGCCAGAAATAAAGTTAAGAGGAATGAAGGAAAGATTAAGTGTGTACAGCTGCAAGAGGATCAGGGGTAAGGGAGAGGTTTGAGTTATGCTAAAATAATCATTTTAGAGCCATTGATGATCATCTAATAATAAATAAATAATAATAAATAAATGTTAATTCAGGTAAGGTACATACATACAAGAGATTTGACAAAAATTGATAGATTTATAGATAAGAGCTAGTACATACAATGCCTAAAGCCACTATTACGCAAAGCGTTTCGGGCAGGAAAAACATTAAAGACTAAAACTTTAATACTAATTGAGTTTAAAGTATAAAATGTGTTGAGAACAAATAAAAATTAAAAAGGGGGAACATGGCTGAAAAAGCAGCACAAATACAATTAGGTCGACAAACAGCGTTGTTTAAAAAAACAGATATGGGTAATATAGAACATTTCAGATGTTCAGAGATTACATAATAGATCCCTTATGTAACAACACTCAACAAGAGTCAGTCAATCAAGCAGTGTCTATTATAACTGGGTGACCTATTTTTACACATGCAAACCAATAGCTAAGTGGGCTACATTGCACACTCAGACCTTGATAAAGCACTTAGAAGAGTGCAAAAGACGGTGTAAATTCCTTACATAAATTTCACATATACACAAGTCAATTTATTTGCAAGAAGGTACAATGAGTTGGCGAGATTACATTAGATTCGGTCTGCCCGAAACGCTGCACGTACTAGTGGCTTTACAAGAATGTAATTGCTATGCTATGTATCCTCACAATCCCAATGTACCTTCTTGTATATATATAAATAAATAAATAAATAAATAAAAGATTGGTATTTTTACATTCATGCAAAGCCATTAACATGCATAGCATTTCAGACATACAATTACATACACACACACACTCATCCTGTAACTACACTTAGGTAAAAATTACTCACATACATAATCACTGTCTAGTTTCCTCACTGTCATAGGCTGGGGATATATACCAGTACATACATATACACAAATACATACATACCATACACCAGGACCTAGTTTGTGCATTGTCATGGAGTGGGGGATATACGAGCAGAGTAACAAAATCAGCGGTGACCGATGTTGTCACAGCAGGAATACAAACTTGGCAACAGGCATCTCGAGCAGTTGAGCTAGTATGGGACTCTAGATGACACCAAGTGTATCTTGAGGTTATCTTGAGATGATTTTGGGGCTTTTTAGTGTCCCCGCGGCCCGGTCCTCGACCAGGCCTCCACCCCCAGGAAGCAGCCCATGACAGCTGACTAACACCCAGGTACCTATTTTACTGCTAGGTAACAGGGGTATCAAGGGTGAAAAAAACTCTGCCCATTGTTTCTCGCCGGCGCCTGGGATCAAACCCAGGACCACAGGATCACAAGCCCAGCGTGCTGTCCGCTCGGCCGACCGGCTCCCAAATCTGAACCGTTTAGCGACAGATCTAAACGTGGACTGCGCCGATTACCCTCATTCCACTGTTAACTATGCTAGCATCATAATTCAACAAATTACCTGAAAAACTTGCTCTTCTTCCTCCATGTGTGGCAAAAAGTTGCGAACAAAGTCCTCAAAAGCCTGCTGAAGTTTCAGGCCAAAGCTGACACGCTCCCCAACGCTGCGCTCCCGCACCTGCTTCCCCGTACGCACAAGTTGCACCACCTGCAGCACAAACCACTCAAAATTGTAGAAAACTCTTAATGCACAAATACAGAAAAAAAACATATATTTCAAACATCATCATTCTTTAGGCTAACAAAGAATTTAAGTCTAGCCTAAGGAATAAGATTTAATATTGCCTCTACTTTTGCTAAGTATACTGAAAAGGAACAGATTCAGAAATGTTCAAGATTGGCAAATTATTTAAGCTGTCATGAATGGCAAATTATTTTTAGATTATCCAATATCAGGAAAATGTTGTAGCACAACGCCTCATAATAACGAGAGAGAGAGAGAAAGAGAGAGAGAGAGAGAAAGAGAGAGAGAGAAAGAGAGAGAGAGAGAGAGAGAAGAGAGAGAGAGAGAAGAGAGAGAGAGAGAGAGAAAGAGAGAGAGAGAGAAAGAGAGAGAGAGAGAGAGAAAGAGAGAGAGAGAGAGAGAAAGAGAGAGAGAGAGAAAGAGAGAGAGAGAGAGAGAACGCTTACATTCCCAAGTCTGTTGTCGTTGTGACAGTCACACACGGCGGTGTTGAATATTTTCCGCTGCTTCAGCCTATTCTTGAGTTGGTCCATTATAAAAATGTTCTCGATGGATTCATGAGACTTGAATTCATAGAGTGTGTTAGTGAGGTCCTGCAGAAGGGAGATCACTTCTGATCCATCACGAAAGTCAACGCACTGCATCTGAAAGTTGTAACAGAGGAGTCTTGTCACTTGCGTACAGCACACCACATTATAGTACTGTACAGTGCTCGTCGTTATATTGCATCCCCTTTGTTTATTACTCTATTCATTTATGTGGTTCGGGAACAGCTTCCACATCACCCGAGGCTCTCCACTTCCCTTTAGCCTCTCACTCACACCGCCCAGCCTGTACATGAAATTAAACCTCACTTCGTTGGAAGACAGAAGAGTTAGGGGAGGACATGATCACCACATTCAAGATTCTCATGGGAATTGATAGGGTAGATAAAGACAGGCTATTTAACACAAGGGGCACATGCACTAGGGGACACTGGTGGAAACCGAGTGCCCAAATGAGCCACAGAGATATTAGAAAGAACTTTTTTAGTGTCAGAGTGGTTGACAAATGGAATGCATTAGGGGGTGATGTGGTGGAGGCTGACTCCAAACACAGTTTATAGTGTAGATATGATAAGAGCCCAATAGGCTCAGGAATCTGTACACCTGTTGTTTGATGGTTGAGAGGCGGGACCAAAGAGCCAGAGCTCAACCCCCGCAAGCACAACTAGGTGAGTACATGACTCCTCACACTCACCCTTCTCTCAACCACATAACCTACTCTCTCTCAACCCACTCCCTTTCACAACACTTCATAATATATTAAAGTTTAATATCAATATGCACTGTGCTTGCCCTTTGACATGTAAAACAGTATAATAGATCACAACCAATTTAAAAAGGTAAAAGGCGTAAGCACAATGGAGAGCCGAATATTACGGAGAACGGGTTTTCTGCAAGGGGAGGGGGTAGCCCCCTGGTCAGAAAGAACAAGACAGCGATGCAGCTTGACGATTGCTCAACTGGGCGAGTATGAGGACATGGGACACCCCACCCTCATATACAGTTAGAAGACATCAGTGTATCGTGAAAATATACATAAAATAGTAAATGCTAAGAGATCCTGGAAATTCGAGTAGGATCCAAACCCTATATCGTCATCAACAGCACGACATCACACACCTCGTCCAAACCTCATACAAGATGCAACATTATAACTCATTTTTGTTATCTTAAGCGTGTTTAAGGTTACAAAATGTCCTCCTGCAAAATGTTACGCTGCCCGAAACGCTTTGCGTAATAGTGGCTTTAGGCATTGTATGTACCAGCTCTATCAATAAATCTATCAATTTATGTAAAATCTCTTGTATGTACCTTACCTGAATAAACATTTTATTTTTTTTATTTTTAAAATCAAACGGTGAAAATTCATGAAATTAATAATATGTTTATAATATTCGTTGTACTATTATATCCTTGGCTCTCTAGCAGGAGAACTGGTACTACATTTTCCCAACAGTGTCGCTGCTGTTTGCCAATTTAGTTCCTAATTCCAAAATTTATTTGTCCAAATTTATAATTTCCTTCAAAATCTGATCGGAGGCTATTTTATAAATGCTGACTATGGTTGCAATAAAGGTACAGTACTGTATTTGAAAAGTGGAAATGTTTTAAAATACTTATACTATTTCCTCAGATATTGTTGCCTTCTTGAGAGGTTATCTTGAGATGATTTCGGGGCTTTTAGTGTCCCCGCGGCCCAGTCCTCGGCCAGGCCTCCACCCCCAGGAAGTAGCCCGTGACAGCTGACTAACACCCAGGTACCTATTTACTGCTAGGTAACAGGAGTATCAGGGTGACAAAAACTCTACCCATTGTTTCTCGCCGGCACCCGGGATCGAACCCAGGATCACGCATCCAGTGTTCTGTCCGCTCAGCCACCGGCTTGATGCAGTCTTAGTCTCCAGCAGCCTTGCCTCCCATCCTAAATCCTTATCCTGACCCCCTCCAAGTGCTATATAGTCGTAATGGCTTGGCGCTTTCCCCTGGCAATTCTCTCTCTCCCTTGCCTCTATGCATTTTCAGTATTTAGGGTCTAATTTAAACTTTTTTCATCCAAATATTGTCATTTCCTTTAAAATCTCACAAGCGGTAGTTTTGAACGTGCCGATTTAAGGAGTGCGAATATTTCCGATACATGTCAATATGTCAGTTCATTCTTTGGATACTTTGGTACTGGTGACGGACGCTCCAACACTCCACTCATCTCCACCAGTAACATCTTAAAACACCACAAGGCTTATTATTTTATAGTATTTACAAGCAAAAATCTTACTTTTTAATTTTCATCAGGTCAGGTTTGGGTTCGGCCAAAACCTTCACACAAGCTCACCCTAAAAAACAAGATTGGGTTAGATTAAGTCGGTTTCATTTACAAAGCAGCGATAACGTAAAACAACCGTCGTACAGTAATTACGAAGCCAATTCGTACTACCAAGGTGAAATATGTTATTACCACCATACTGCTGCTGCTGCTGCTGGCTATACCACCTTACCCACGGGTACGACGCTCCTCATAATATGTTATAGTCGGAGATATCTTAAGGTTACCTTGAGATGATTTCGGGGCTCAGTGTCCCCGTGGCCCGGTCCTCGACCAGGCCTCCACCCCCATGGAAGCAGCCCGTAGCAGCTAACTCCCAGGTACATATTTACTGCTAGGTGAACAGGAGCATCAGGGTGAAAGAAACTTTTAGCCCATCTGTCTCCGCCTGGGATCGAACCCGGAACCACGGGACTAGGAATCCCGAGCGCTGTCCACTCAGCCGTCAAGCCCTCAGTTACTTAATAAATTTACCTGAGAGTCACAACGCCTCAGTGAGGACAGGAAGCCGGCGGCTTGTCAAACGTCCCCCCTCATTGAATTACACGTAACGTGACTCAAACAACCCTAAAGAAGGTAGGAGTGTGAGGCAGCAGCCCCCCCCCAACCCCCTCATGCCCCTCCTTATCCCTCATACCCTTGACACCCCCCTCATACCCCTGACACCCTGACACCTGGCACCCACTTGACAGCTCGGTGGCACCCTTCCTATATCCCCCCCTTGACACCTCACAACTCGCCCCCCCTCACAGGCTGCGGGGGTGTGGGGGGCGGCGCCCCCTCACACCCTCCTCACCTTGTGAGTGTAGATGTTGACCAGCTCCTTCATGCGGGAGTGAGGAGCCGTGAAGACATCAATCTCTTCTGGTACCCGCGGCGCCATCTTTGTTTACTGAGCAGCCCAGGGACCACGAGCCTAAACCCTTTCTCCCCTTTACCCATAAGGGAGGGGGAGATGTTAGTTCCCCTTTACCCATAAGGGAGGGGGAGATGTTTAGTTCCTCTTTACCCATGAGGGAGGGGAAATGTTAGTTCCCCCCTTTACCCATGAGGGAGGGGAAATGTTAGTTCCCCCCTTTACCCATAAGGGAGGGGGAGCTGTTAGTTCCCCTTTACCCATAAGGGAGGGGGAGATGTTAGTTCCCCTTTACCCATAAGGGAGGGGAGATGTTAGTTCCTCTTTACCCATGGGTGAGGGAGAGATGTTAGTTCCTCTTTACCCATGAGGGAGGGGAGATGTTAGTTCCTCTTTACCCATGAGGGAGGGGGAGATGTTAGTTCCCCTTTACCCATGGGTGAGGGAGAGATGTTAGTTCCTCTTTACCCATGAGGGAGGGGAGATATTAGTTCCCTTTACCCATGAGGGAGGGGGAGATGTTAGTTCCCCTTTACCCATGGGTGAGGGAGAGATGTTAGTTCCTCTTTACCCATGAGGGAGGGGAGATGTTAGTTCCCCTTTACCCATGAGGGAGGGGAGATGTTAGTTCCCCTTTACCCATGAGGGAGGGGAGATGTTAGTTCCCATTTACCCATGAGGGAGGGGAGATATTAGTTCCCTTTACCCATGAGGGAGGGGAGATGTGAGTTCCCCTTTACCCATGAGGGAGGGGGAGATGTTAGTTCCCTTTACCCATGAGGGAGGGGAAATATTAGTTCCCATTTACCCATGGGTGAGAGCGAACTGTAAAAAAAAAACCTATGAACTAGACTCAAAAAATCACTTCTTTTAGAAATCATTGAAGAAAAAAACAGGAAAATTGAGCAGACTTAACATTCTATAACACTGAGGAATGTATCATACAACTCTAATACAACAAAAAAATACAATTCTGAGGGGTGAGGGGAAATGATGACTTGGGTTCGTATCCCCCCTGAAGGCTGGGAGGGGGGAGGGGGTGGGGAGGGGGGAGGACGTGAAGTGCGCCGCGTCAATTAGTGGGGGAAATGGGGCTTTCCCCCCCCCCCCCCTTTCCCCCCCCCCCAACAAACATTATCACCACCATCACTGGCCATTCACCATCACTCCTCCCATAAAGTTAATGGTGAACCTTTCCAAATAAAGGATTGGAAGCATTTTTAAAAGAACATTTGAGGTCATCATCTGCGTACGATTATTAGTACTTGTTCCTTTATCCTTCCTATACCTTTTAACGACGTAATTGGCAATTTGAGCCGTTGAGAGCGCTCCCAGAGACATGTGCACCATGTAAAAGATCTCCAGCATGGCAGTACTCTTGGGGCCAGACTCACGAAGCAGTTACGCAAGCACTTACGAACCTGGGGCCAGACTCACGAAGCAGTTACGCAAGCACTTACGAACCTGGGGCCAGATTCACGAAGCAGTTACGCAAGCACTTACGAACCTGGGGCCAGATTCACGAAGCAGTTACGCAATCACTTACGAACCTGGGGCCAGAATCACGAAGCAGTTACGCAAGCACTTACGAACCTGGGGCCAGACTCACGAAGCAGTTACGCAAGTACTTACGAACGTGTACATCTTTCCTCAATCTTTGACGGCTTTGGTTACATTTATTAAACAGTTTACAAGCGTGAAAACTTGCCAATCAACTGTTGTTATTGTTATAAACAGCCTCCTGGTGCTTCCGAGCTCATTAACTGTTTAATAATTAAGAAATATTAACATTTATAAAACCCCCATACGATTTTCAAAGGGTAAAGTGTGAAATATTTGGTGTGTTTTCCATAGAATTTTTCAGGGGTTTGTAATAATTAATTTTATATATATATATATATATATATATATATATATATATATATATATATATATATATATATATATATATATATATATATATATATATATATATATATATAAAGTTTGTGAGGGTACCACCTCTGGTGCCAATGTGGGGACCCATAGCCTCGGAGAAGAAAATAAAAAGTATTCAGAGGAGACCTTGTGGTCTCTCACTGAACACCAATATTATCTTCTCCTACCACCCCCATTCTTTTGTATGTACACATATATATTTACTTTATTTGAACTTATTTATTTGAACCCATATGTAACTCCTTTTTTGTAACAAAGTTCAAATAAAGTAAATATATATGTGTATATATATATATATATATATATATATATATATATATATATATATATATATATATATATATATATATATATGTCGTACCTAGTAGCCAGAACTCACTTCTCAGCCTACTATGCGAGGCCCGATTTGCCTAATAAGCCAAGTTTTCCTGAAATAATATATTTTCTCTAATTTTTTTCTTATGAAATGATAAAGCTACCCATTTCATTATGTATGAGGTCAATTTTTTTTTATTGGAGTTAAAATTAACGTAGATATATGACCGAACCTAACCAACCCTACCTAACCTAACCTAACCTATCTTTATAGGTTAGGTTAGGTTAGGTAGCCGAAAAAGTTAGGTTAGGTTAGGTTAGGTAGGTTAGGTAGTCGAAAACATTAATTCATGAAAACTTGGCTTATTAGGCAAATCGGGCCCTGCATAGTAGGCCGAGAAGTGCGTTCTGGCTACTAGGTACGACATATATATATATATATATATATATATATATATATATATATATATATATATATATATATATATATATATATATATATATATATATATATATATATATATATATATAATATGCATGTCTGGGGTACACACATGATGTGGCCAGCAGGTCTGGGCCTCACATATGGTGTGGCCAGCAGGTGTGGGGACACACACATATGGTGTGGCCAGCAGGTGTGGGGACACACACACATGGTGTGGCCAGCAGGTGTGGGGCCACACACACATGGTGTGGCCAGCAGGTCTGGGCTACACACATGGTGTGGCCAGCAGGTGTGGGGGCACACACACATGGTGTGGCCAGCAGGTGTGGGGACACACACACATGGTGTGGCCAGCAGGTCTGGGCTACACACATGGTGTGGCCAGCAGGTCTGGGCCACACACATGGTGTGGCCAGCAGGTCTGGGCCACACACATGGTGTGGCCAGCAGGTCTGGGCCACACATATGGTGTGACGCTGTACTACAGAGTGGCTCGGAATCTTTTTATAGTCGAATTGGGGGCGCCACCGCCCCCCCCCCCATCACCGCTACATATAGCACAATACAGCGCCCGCCCCTAACCGCTAGATATAGCACATTGCGCTTCCCTTCAAATTAGATGTGTTCATAATTTTAAATCATCCCTATATCCCTCTATGAGCAGATACTCATAATACAAAATATTATACTAGCGAAAGGTATGCTATACAGAAGGTATATTGGATATCAGCGAGAGAGGGAAACTTCGCTAGATTTAGCAGAGTTGGTGCCAATCTTGGCAGAGCTGCCCTGCGGCACTTATTGGCACCGTGGCACCTGGTACCGCCTTCTGGTAGTCTCCCGACGTTCGAGTCCCTCTTGGCACTAGCGCCATGAGCTCTCCAGTCGGTATTTAGCGCCCACCAGTGACAGTGGTTCGAGTAGGACTCCAAATACGAAAATTGGTAGCGGTTATAGGTAGCCTGCATTAGCAATACTGCTAGTTTCTTTGTACTAGGAGGAGCGTCAACTAGCTATCGTAAGGACTAGCCTCGTCCTCCAGTACTTGGCCCTCGTCCTCGAGTACTTGGCCCTCGTCCTCCAGTACTTGGCCCTTGTCCTCCAGCCCTCGTCCTCCAGACCTCGTCCTCCAGACCTCGTCCTCCAGCCCTCGTCCTCCAGCCCTCGTCCTCCAGACCTCGTCCTCCAGCCCTCGTCCTCCAGACCTCGTCCTCCAGCCCTCGTCCTCCAGCCCTCGTCCTCCAGACCTCGTCCTCCAGCCCTCGTCCTCCAGCCCTCGTCCTCCAGCCCTCGTCCTCCAGCCCTCGTCCTCCAGACCTCGTCCTCCAGACCTCGTCCTCCAGACCTCGTCCTCCAGACCTCGGAGAAGGAACAACATCAAGATGGTTAAGGAGACAGAGTACTACCAGCGTCTTGGAGTGTCACCCGAGGCCTCTCCTCAGCTGCTGAAGGAGGCCTACAGGAAGCTGGCCCTCAAGTACCACCCGGATAAGAACCCTCAAGGGAACGAGAAGTTCAAGCAGATCTCTCAGGCCTACGAAGTCCTCTCCAACCCCAAGAAGAGGAAGATATACGACGAGGGAGGAGAAGAGGCGTTACAGGTAGGCCTTGAATTCAAATTCAAATTCAAATTCAAATTCAAATTGCCGCAAAAGACCGTTATTGACGGGTATTTCGTTTTTTATTGGGGGTGTTGCATGTATGTTGTGGGCGTGTGTTGCTTGTTAGTGATGTGTTGTATGTGTTGCAGAGTGGCGCTTCTGGCGGCGGCTTCGGGAACCCGATGGATATCTTCAATATGTTCTTCGGGGGCGGCGGCGATGGCGGCAGCGACGTGGAGGACGAGGAGGACGATGATGGCGGCTTCAGCTTCTTCGGGAAGGGCGGCATGGGCGGCGGAGGGGCGGGGAGGAAGCCCCCGCCCATGGAGCACCGCCTGGTGGTGTCTTTAGAGCAACTTATGGTGGGCGGTAGGAGGACTCTGAAGCTAGAGCGTCGGCGGCCATGTTGCTCCTGTAGCGGCAGAGGCGGCAGGCAGGACGCTGCCACCCAGACCTGTGGCGCCTGTCACGGCAAGGGTGTCAAGGTAAGGGAAGCTGTCAAGGCTTGACATGCTCTTGGGGCAAGGGTGTCAAGGCTAGATATGCTTGGGGGATTGTCTAGACATCGTTCACCAGCGAGCTAAGAATAACAACTTCGTCTCACCCCCCACAGTTGACGTACCAGCAGCTGGGGCCCGGCTTGGTGGAGATGCACGGCACCTGTGGTACCTGTGGAGGCTCAGGCAGGACTATAGCTGAGGCGGACAGGTGTCACGCCTGCCACGGGGCTCGAACCCTGCCCGACACCAAGATTACTCAGGTTAGCCACCTCTCTCTCTCTGTCTCTCTGTCTCTCTCTCTCTGTCTCTCTGTCTCTCTCTCTGTCTCTCTCTCTCTCTCTCTCTCTCTCTCTCTCTCTCTCTCTCTCTCTCTCTCTCTCTCTCTCTCTCTCTCTCTCTCTCTCTCTCTCTCTCTCTCTCTCTCTCTCTCTCTCTCTCTCTCTCTCTCTCTCTCTCTCTCTCTCTCTCTCTCTCAGCAAACCATTAACTCGTTTCTATTCGGTTCTTTTCCTATTTTCTATAAATTTATATATATCTACATTTCTATAAATCTATTGATAAAAAAATCTATTTTCCATCAGTTGTATAAATTATTAATATTTTATTTTCATAAATCAATTTGTAATACATTTTCCCTCTGAAAGTTTAATAGATTAAATTTTTATGATAATTATTTAAAGTTTAGCTAATTTATATATATATATATATATATATATATATATATATATATATATATATATATATATATATATATATATATATATATATAATGAGGTAATATTAATTGTGTGATAATTAAAGGTGTTAGTGGGTAATTGCCTCGTTACTGTAGCTGGGTCGTTAGTCTTGCTTTAACCACTTGGTGTACAGGCATTAACCTAACTTGACCTTTATAGACAAGTTCTTGACCTGATCTTGTCAACCGGTCTAGCTTGACGGTCAAAGGTCAAAGCCAGCATTGACCTGCCGTGCCCCGCAGGTACACGTGGAGAGGGGCATGGGGCATGGGGCACGCATTAACCTCAAGGGCGAGGGGGACCAGGACCCGGGACAGGAAGCCGGCGACGTGGTCATTATCCTGCAGGAGAAGCCCCACGCCACTTTCACCAGGAAGGGCATTGACCTTCACATGGATATGAAGGTTAGGGTCATGGGGGTCAATGCCCCCCTCCTCCTAACAAGGGGGGCATTGACCTTCACATGGATATGAAGGTTAGGGTCATGGGGGTCAATGCCCCCCTCCTCCTAACAAGGGGGGCATTGACCTTCACATGGATATGAAGGTTAGGGTCATGGGGTCAATGCCCCCCTCCTCCTAACAAGGGGGGCATTGACCTTCACATGGATATGAAGGTTAGGGTCATGGGGTCAATGCCCCCCTCCTCCTAACAAGGGGGGCATTGACCTTCACATGGCAACCCGTTCTCGCACTTGCTTATAGTCAATATTTGCTTATTAATAAGTGCATATGTGACATACTAATTTATTGTGAATATTTAAGTCAATATTGGCTTATTAATAAGTGCATATGTGACATACTAATTTATTGTGAATATTTTAGTTTACCCAACCCGTTCTTATGCACTTATTAATAAGCCAATATTGACTATAAGCAAGTGCGAGAACGGGTTGGTGGTAGTGCACGATAGAAAGCTATTGTCACATATTCATATATATACATTTCACATAATATATATGTACTTCAGCCTTACAGTTTAGACCTATTGTGTTGTGTATGGCCGTCTGTCCTGTGTGACAGGGAATACCACCATTATCCTCACTTTAATAAGACTTGCAGGCGATTAACGTAACAGAATTGTATATGTGCTGCCTTTTTCAGCCATGTTCCCCCCTTTTTTATCTCTTTTTTTATTTGTTCTCAACTCATTTTATTCTATATGCTCAATTAGTATTAAGCTTTAGTCATTTAATTGTTTCATCCCCGAAACGCTTTGCGTAATAGTGGCTTTAGGCATTGTATGTACTAGCTCTATCTATAAGTCCATTACTCTTTGTATAATCTCTTGTATGTATGTACCTGTAAGGGAGCCGGTCGGCCGAGCGGACAGCACGCGGGACTTGTGATCCTGTGGTCCTGGGTTCGATCCCAGGCGCCGGCGAGAAATAATGGGCAGAGTTTCTTTCACCCTATGCCCCTGTTACCTAGCAGTAAAATAGGTACCTGGGTGTTAGTCAGCTGTCACGGGCTGCTTCCTGGGGATGGAGGCCTGGTCGAGGACCGGGCCGCGGGGACACTAAAAGCCCCGAAATCATCTCAAGATAACCTCAAGATACCTAAATAAACATTTGATTTGATTTGATTAAAGTAATTGACTTGAGAATGGTCCAGGACGGACCGAAACGTCGTCGTCCCTTCACCTTCTAGTGTGTGGTCTGGTCAACATACTTTAATAAGACTTAATTGAAATCCTCAGATTAGGCAAAATTGTAATTAATTTTGTTAATAAAGATGTTAATAATAACATTGTCGTCGACAGATAACGCTAGTGGAGTCCTTATGTGGGATCCGTCGCACTGTTGCTACCCTGGATGGTCGGACACTCACCCTCACCACGCCTGAGGGCAAGGTTAGTGCCGGGGGTTCGAATCCCCGTCATTCTCTCCCTCACAACCCGTAACACAAAGATTGTCCTTATCAACACATAGATAAAAGTATATATCTTTATCAGCTAATGATACCACATGAGTACAGGACTTGGGACAGAGAGTCATGAACCACTACGAAACCTTTACATCCTGCCTCAGTCATGGTGCCTTGGCTGAGGCTCGAACCCAGGTTATAAGCTGGGAGGCGGCACGAGGTCGTTTAATAGCACTAATAACCTCGAGTTGTGACGTTTATAGATGTAAGGGTTTCGTTATTGGTTGTGTAATTGACTAATGAATCCAAGTCAGGGGGAGGATTGACTAGGCACCAATCCTTAACTGTAGCCCCTATTCACCCAACAGTAAAATATGCACCTGGTTGTAAAACCACTTAGCGGATTGCATTCCAGGGGAAATGTTAGGATTACGAACCTCCCTGAAGAACTATACCTCCCCGTGGCTTTACAACCATGTAGGAACTCTTGTGTGTATATATATATATAAACAAACAATACAAACAGACACAATTACAGGTGCTGGAACCAGGGGGGGAGATGGTGGTGGAGGCAGAGGGACTCCCCCTCTTTAGAAACCCCTACATCAGGGGGGACCTGGTGGTTAAGTTCACGGTAAGTTCTCTAACTTGTTCCTCTAAGTTCTCTAAATTGTCCCCTTAAGTTCCCCTTGATTTCTCTAACTTGTTCCTCTAAGTTCTCTAAATTGTCCCCTTAAGTTCCTCTTGATTTCTCTAACTTGTTCCTCTAAGTTCTCTAACGTGTTCCCTTAAGTTCCCCTTGATTTCTCTAACTTGTTCTCTCAAGTTCTCTAACGTGTTCCTCTAAGTTCGCTTTCCTGCGCGCAGTGAATGAGCGGTATGTGAGCACTTGATGAGTACTGCGCACAGTGAATGAGCAGTATATGAGTACTGGAAGAGTACTGCGCACAGTGAATGAGCAGTATATGAGTACTGGATGAGTACTGCGCGCAGTGGTGAATGAGTACTGGAAGAGTACTGCGCACAGTGGTGAATGAGCACTGGATGAGTACTGCGCGCAGTGAATGAGCAGTATATGAGCACTCGAAGAGTACTGCGCTCAATGTGTCCCAAGCCAATGTCTCACCAACGCCCCCTGTCCATCCGCCTCAGATCGACTTCCCAGCGAAGGTGGACGAGGACTTCGTGCGGGAGTTCGAGTCCATGTTCCCGCGTTCGGCCAAGTTCCCCTTGGAAGTGACCGGGGACGAGGAGCAGGTGGACATGCTGCCCCTCGACGACCATCCTGGAGGTCCACCTGACGCCCACGACGACGACCGTATGGAGACAGACGACCAGCCTCCAACGGGGTGTAGACAGTCGTAGTGTAGACAGTGTTTACATGGGGGTATCAGGCTCCAACGTGGCTCTGTTTACATGTGAATATCTGGTTCCAGCGTGGCTTTCTTTACGTGGGAATATTTGGCTCCAGCGTGGCTCTGTTTACATGTGAATATCTGGTTCCAGGGTGGCTTTGTTTACGTGTGAATATCTGGTTCCAGCGTGGCTTTGTTTACGTGTGAATATCTGATTCCAGCGTGGCTCTCTTTACATGTGAATATCTGGTTCCAGCGTGGCTTTGTTTTCATGTGAATATCTGGTTCCAGGGTGACTTTCTTTACGTGGGAATATTTGGCTCCAGCGTGGCTCTGTTTACATGTGAATATCTGGTTCCAGGGTGGCTTTGTTTACGTGTGAATATCTGATTCCAGCGTGGCTCTCTTTACATGTGAATATCTGGTTCCAGTGTGGCTTTCTTTACATGTGAATATCTGGTTCCAGGGTGGCTTTGTTTACGTGTGAATATCTGGTTCCAGCGTGGCTCTATTTACATGTGAATATCTGATTCCAGCGTGGCTTTCTTTACGTGTGAATATCTGGTTCCAGCGTGGCTTTGTTTTCATGTGAATATCTGGTTCCAGCGTGGCTTTGTTTACGTGGGAATATTTGGCTCCAACGTGGGTCTTTTTACATGTGAATATCTGGCTCTAATGCGGCTGATAAGATCATTGTTCCCTTATTGTTTAATAAAATGTTATTCTCCTCGATGTGTATTCTTGAACCACGATAGCAATACTGAAGTGACTTCAGTAGGTCCCAGCTCCTTGTCCTCATATCCCAGCTCCTTGTCCTCATATCCCAGCTCCTTGTCCTCGTATCCCAGCTCCTTGTCCTCATACCCCAGCTCCTTGTCCTCGTATCCCAGCTCCTTGTCCTCATATCCCAGCTCCTTGTCCTCATATCCCAGCTCCTTGTCCTCATATCCCAGCTCCTTGTCCTCATATCCCAGCTCCTTGTCCTCATATCCCAGCTTCTTGTCCTCATATCCCAGCTCCTTGTCCTCATATCCCAGCTCCTTGTCCTCGTATCCCAGCTCCTTGTCCTCATACCCCAGCTCCTTGTCCTCATATCCCAGCTCCTTGTCCTCATACCCCAGCTCCTTGTCCTCATATCCCAGCTCCTTGTCCTCATACCCCAGCTCCTTGTCCTCATATCCCAGCTCCTTGTCCTCATATCCCAACAACTTCAAGTATCACTTCAGTAGTTGACTAAGAAATCTCTTGTCACATTTTAAATCTGCGAACCCTCCGGAGCCGGTAATTGGCTGGGAATTGACCAATCAGAGCCATTACCGGGCAATCCCCGGGCGCTAATTGGTCAGCGCCAGGGACTAAATCTCAAACGGCTTCTTGACAAATCTATATACCAATTTCCGGCTTAATAATTTATTATTTCCAGTAGTTAATATTTGCGTGTGTGTGTGTGTGTGTGTGTGTGTGTGTATGTGTGTGTGTGTGTGTGTGTGTGTGTGTGTGTGTGTGTGTGTGTGTGTGTGTGTGTGTGTGTGTGTGTGTGTGTGTGTGTGTGTGTGTGTGTGTGTGTGTGTGTGTGTGTGTGTGTGTGTGTGTGTGTGTGTGTGTGTGTGTGTGTGTGTGTGTGTGTACTCACCTAGTTGTGCTTGCGGGGGTTGAGCTCTGCCTATTGGGCTCTATCATATCTACACTTGAAACTGTGTATGGAGTCAGCCTCCACCTGTGTGTGTGTGTGTACTCGCCTAATTGTACTCACCTAGTTGTGTTTGTGGGGGGTTGAGCTCTGGCTCTTTGGTCCCGCCTCTCAACCGTCAATCAACTGGTGTACAGATTCCTGAGCCTATAGAGCCCTGTGTACTCACCTAATTGTGCTTGCGGGGGTTGAGCTCTGGCTCTTTGGTCCCGCCTCTCAACCGTCAATCAACTGGTGTACAGATTCCTGAGCCTATTGGGCTCTATCATATCTACATTTGAAACTGTGTATGGAGTCAGCCTCCACCACATCACTTCCTAATGCATTCCATTTGCTAACTACTCTGACACTGAAAAAGTTCTTTCTAACGTCTCTGTGGCTCATTTGGGTACTCAGCTTCCACCTGTGTCCCCTTGTTCGCGTCCCACCAGTGTTGAAAAGTTCATCCTTGTTTACCCGGTCGATTCCCCTGAGGATTTTGTAGGTTGTGATCATGTCCCCCCCTTACTCTTCTGTCTTCCAGTGTCGTGAGGTGCATTTCCCGCAGCCTTTCCTCATAACTCATGCCTCTTAGTTCTGGGACTAGTCTAGTAGCATACCTTTGGACTTTTTCCAGCTTCGTCTTGTGCTTGACAAGGTACGGGCTCCATGCTGGGGCCGCATACTCCAGGATTGGTCTTACATATGTGGTGTACAAGATTCTGAATGATTCCTTACACAGGTTCCTGAACGCCGTTCTGATGTTAGCCAGCCTCGCATATGCCGCAGACGTTATTCTCTTTATGTGGGCTTCAGGAGACAGGTTTGGTGTGATATCAACTCCTAGATCTTTCTCTCTGTCTGTTTCATTAAGTACTTCATCTCCTATTCTGTATCCTGTGTGTGTGTGTGTGTGTGTGTGTGTGTGTGTGTGTACTCACCTAGTTGAGCTTGCAGGGTTGAGTATCTGCTCTTGGGCCCGGCCTTTCGACTATCATTAGTTCATTAATACTTTAGCTCTTCTTAAGTACACTTAAAAACGTTTGGAAATGGCTTCGACAACTTTTTCTATCTAGTCTGGTCCATTTCCACGTTCCCGTTGAGAGGCGGGACCCAAGAGCCGAAGCCCAACCCCCCCATGCAAACACCACTAGATGAGTACCTAATTACGAGTCTTAGATTGAAAAAAGTTCCTTCTGAACATCCTTGAAGCTCGTCTGTGTTTCCTGTTTCATTTGTCAGTCCCGTCTTAGTATCTTGTATGTCGTTGTCATGTGCGCTATATTCCTTCTTTCCTCCTGTGTAGTGACGTCTAGTTCCCCTCAGTCTTTCTTCATAGCTCAGTCCCCTTAGATCAGGGACGAGTCTTATATTTTGGGATTTTTTTCTATTTTTGTGCTTTTTTTAAGTAAGGGTTCCATGCCGGGGCTGCATACTCAATAACGGGTCTGGCGAAGGTTGTATACAGAGCTGGGAAGTGGTCTTTGTCCAAGCTAGTGAAGGATAGCGGGATATCCACTATCGACTTGAGAATGGTCCAGGACGGACCGAAACGTCGTCGTCGTCCCTTCACCTTCTAGTGTGTGGTCTGGTCAACATACTGCAGCCACGTTATTGTGACTCATCGCCTGTACGGGATATCCTGCTCTCGTTATCCTGCTGGTGTTAGATATCCAGTTATGTCTACTCCTAAGCCTTCCTCTTTCTCAGAAGTTGAAAGGTGTCTTCCCTTCATCCTGTACTGTCTGTGAGGTCTTGATCCAGCTCCTATACTCATAACCTTGCATTTGTCAGGGTTAAAGTCTAGTACCCACTTCTTAGACCATCTCTGGGGATTGTCTAGTTCATCTAGTAACACACTGCAGTTATCTTCAGTTGTGAAGGGAGCCGGTCGGCCGAGCGGACAGCACGCTGGACTTGTGATCCTGTGGTCCTGGGTTCGATCCCAGGCTCCGGCGAGAAACATTGGGCAGAGTTTCTTTCACCCTATGCCCCCTGTTACCTAGCAGTACCTGGGAGTTAGTCAGCTGTCACGGGCTGCTTCCTGGGGGTGGAGGCCTGGTCGAGGACCGGGCCGCGGGGACACTAAAAAGCCCCGAAATCATCTCAAGATAACCTCAAGATAACGGGCTTACCATCATCAGCAAACATGGAAAAGAATGAGCTACCTCTGTTAAATGCTTTTTATATATTAAGAACAAGATATAGCGAGTTCCACGAAGTACTCCGTAGTAGTACGAAGTTCCACGAAGTTCCACGAAGTTCCACGAAGTACTCCGAAGTACTCCACGAAGTACTCCGCTCATAACTTCTCTCTCCTGATAGCTCTCGCACTATGAGCCTTGGTCTCCTTCCTGGAAGGTACTCCTTCATCTATTTAGATATTTTTCCTAATATGCCAGACTGTTTTGATAAGAGTCGCTTGTGAGGGACAATGTCAAATGCTTTCTGGCAATCCAGGAAAGTGTAGTCTACCCAGCCCTCTCTATCTTGAATTGTGTGTATTTACTATTTCTGCCTGCAGGATTGGGCGGTTAGCTCCTGGACCCCGCTTTTCTAACCATCAGTTGTCTAATGTATTGACTTCTGATTTACTACGCATGTGAGTAGATATTTATCTACTCTATTCCCATGACAATTTTGCATGTGGTAATCATGTCTCCTATGTTTTCTCGCTTTTTACTCATAGCTCTCAGCTCTAGGACCCGCCTTAAGGGTCATCACCAGATAAAGGTGATTATGAGGAGAAAGGTTCAGCGTCTGAAACCATGTTATCACGTGTTTCAAAAATGCCGCGCACGGCCGTTGAGACGGGTCTAAGACCTGAGGGAGTTTCTACGTCATCGCTGTTCTGTAAACATACCTATTCTTACGCAATCTAACCTATTTTTATCCAATCTAACCTATTGCAACCCATTCTAAACTAACTTAACTCAACCTAGCCTAACCTAACCTATAATAAATGAGATAAAATGTTGTTTTATGTAAATGTTGTGCAAGTGTATGACGTCACTATGACGTCACAATGCCCATTCCAGTGCAGGTTTTGGATCATCATTATGAAGCTCTAAGCTGTGACGTCATGGCAACTCTCCTCACCCCCATACATCAGTAAATATGCAGCTCTTGATTTTATAAATTGTATTCTATCATGTTTACAAAATTCCAGAGTTCATTACTTTATAATGAGTCTGTCCATCATTATAATCGGAATCTTTTGCGTCTTTGAGGCAGCGGCGGCAGCGTCACGTCAAGTACGACATGTTTTGTGCCTTTTGTACGATCATCGCCACCTGGCTCACCTGCCAGATGCACAATGCTGCTTCCATAAATATACGTCTTGCAACCTTTAAAAACACAATATTTTATAGTCACAATAGATAATAAATTATACACAAAACTTAGTTCATAATTGTATCAAGGTTAAATATATATTAACCAAAAATATAAAAATTTGAAGCCTTCTGTTGGGAATTCATATGTGATGCGGTACGACACTTTCGGCGGCCCCGGGGGTCGCCATAAGGCAGGCCGACAGACGGCTCCCGGCGGGGTGATGGGAGAGTCACTCACGCTCTCCAGAATAAACTTTAACAGACCAAGAATATACAAGTTGAAAAATATACCATTAAAAATTAATAATAATATCTTGCCCGTCCTCAGTCTATGTTCATTCCATCCGGCGGTCGACCCCCAAAGGCGCATTCATCAATTTTAACATCATTCAAAATTTGTCCTCATATCTCAGTTCCTTGTCCTCATATCCCAGCTCCTTGTCCTCATATCCCAGCTCCTTGTCCTCATATCCCAGCTCCTTGTCCTCATATCTCAGTTCCTTGTCCTCATATCCCAGCTCCTTGTCCTCATATCCAGCTCCTTGTCCTCATATCCCAGCTCCTTGTCCTCATACCCCAGCTCCTTGTCCTCATACCTCAGCTCCTTGTCCTCATATCCCAGCTCCTTGTCCTCATACCCCAGCTCCTTGTCCTCATATCCCAGCTCCTTGTCCTCATATCCCAGCTCCTTGTCCTTATATCCCAGCTCCTTGTCCTCATATCTCAGCTCCTTGTCCTCATATCTCAGCTCCTTGTCCTCATATCCCAGCTCCTTGTCCTCATATCCCAGCTCCTTGTCCTCATATCCCAGCTCCTTGTCCTCATACCGCAGCTCCTTGTCCTCATATCCCAGCTCCTTGTCCTCATACCCCAGCTCCTTGTCCTCATATCCCAGCTCCTTGTCCTCATATCCCAGCTCCTTGTCCTCATATCCCAGCTCCTTGTCCTCATACCCCAGCTCCTTGTCCTCATATCCCAGCTCCTTGTCCTCATACCCCAGCTCCTTGTCCTCATATCCCAGCTCCTTGTCCTCATACCCCAGCTCCTTGTCCTCATATCCCAGCTCCTTGTCCTCATACCCCAGCTCCTTGTCCTCATATCCCAGCTCCTTGTCCTCATATCCCAGCTCCTTGTCCTCATATCCCAGCTCCTTGTCCTCATACCCCAGCTCCTTGTCCTCATACCCCAGCTCCTTGTCCTCATATCCCAGCTCCTTGTCCTCATACCCCAGCTCCTTGTCCTCATATCCCAGCTCCTTGTCCTCATATCCCAGCTCCTTGTCCTCATATCCCAGCTCCTTGTCCTCATATCCCAGCTCCTTGTCCTCATACCCCAGCTCCTTGTCCTCATACCCCAGCTCCTTGTCCTCATATCCCAGCTCCTTGTCCTCATATCCCAGCTCCTTGTCCTCATACCCCAGCTCCTTGTCCTCATATCCCAGCTCCTTGTCCTCATATCCCAGCTCCTTGTCCTCATATCCCAGGTAATATCCTCTCAATACACAAATTCAAAATACAAATTTCAAATGTTTATTCAGGTATATTTCCATAGGCTTGTGGCCCCGACACAAGGCGGGGCCCAGGAGCTTGAGCTGTATTCCCATACACTTGCCAATATGAGTCCTTAGGCCTGGGTAATTATACAGCGGTGGTAGAGGTAATTACAGTAATATTTTGCTGTAATGAGTTGGTTCAGATGATACAGGGTTAGGCTATGGTGGTGGTGGGGTGGTAGTGTGGTGGTGGTGGTAGTGGTGGTAGTGGTGGTGGGGGGGTGGTGTGGTGGTGTGGTGGTGGTGTGGTGGTGGTGGTGGGGTGGTAGTGGTGGTGGTGGTGGTGTGGTGGTGGTGGTGGTGGTAGTGGTGGTGGTGGGGGGTGGTGGGGTGGTGGTGGTGGTGGTGGTGGTGGTAGTGGTGTGGTGGTAGTGGTGGTGGGGGGTGGTGGGGTGGTGGTAGTAGTGGTGGTGGTGGTGGTGGTACTAACCAACCAGTACTTACCTATGGGTGACTATCAAGGAGTGGGTTGTGGCTGTGTGGTGGTGGTAGTAGTGGTGGTGGTGGTAGTGGTGGTACTAACCAACCAGTACTTACCTATGGGTGACTATCAAGGAGTGGGTTGTGGCTGTGTTAAAATTTAACTGTTTTCAACGTTCCGGGGCATGACGGCTGAGTGGACAGCGCTCGGGATTCGTAGTCCTGTGGTTCCGGGTTCGATCCCCGGTGGAGGCGGAGACAACTGGGCAGAGTTTCTTTCACACTGATGCCTCTGTTCAGCTAGCGCTAAATAGGTACCTGGAAGTTAGACAGCTGTCACGGGCTGCTTCCTGGGGATGGAGGCCTGGTCGAGGACCGGGCCGCGGGGACGCTAAGCCCCGAAATCATCTCAAGATAACAGATGTCAAACCCAAAGGAAGGTGAAGCACCAAGCTCAACCACTTGGGCTGGACGGTAGAGCGACGGTCTCGCTACATGCAGGTCGGCGTTCAATCCCCGACCGTCCACAAGTAATTGACCACCATTCCATCCTCCCGTCCTATCCCAAATCCTTATCCTGACCGCTTCCCAGTGCTATATAGTCGCAATGGCTTGGCGCTTTCCCCCTGATAGTTCCCTCGCGTATAAACAACCCAACACAACTGACCTTTCGGGACCAAAGAGCCAGAGCTCAACCTCCGCAAGCACCACTAGGTGAGCACAATGCCACAACCATTGAACCCTTCTACGCCAGCGGCTTGTCCAGGTCCCAGAAAGCGGGTAAGTGTCGTTAAGAAACATTATTGTTGGAGACGTGAGTTAATAATGTCCTCCAGGAGCGATAAGACGAACAACCTGCTCTTGAAGAACTCTCCCGGACACCTTGAATAGTAGTGTTCGTCTTAACAAGTCCTCTTGGGGGGACTGTCAGCCCGAGTGATCTCTATATGTAGGCAGGACAGCGTCTCAAGGATCTCTATATGTAGGCAGGACAGCGTCTCAAGGATCTCTATATGTAGGCAGGACAGCGTCTCAAGGATCTCTATATGTAGGCAGGACAGCGTCTCAAGGATCTCTATATGTAGGCAGGTATTGTAGGCAGGACAGCGTCTCAAGGATCTCTATATGTAGGCAGGACAGCGTCTCAAGGATCTCTATATGTAGGCAGGACAGCGTCTCAAGGATCTCTATATGTAGGCAGGACAGCGTCTCAAGGATCTCTATATATAGGTAAGACAACATAATGATCTCAATATATAGGCAGGACAACGTCTCAATGATCTCAATATATAGGCAGGACAATGGCTCAATGATCTCAATATATAGGCAGGACAATGGCTCAATGATCTCAATATACAGGCAGGACAACGTGTCAATGATCTCAATATATAGGCAGGACAACGGCTCAATGATCTCAACATATAGGCAGGACAACATCTCAATGATTTCAATATATAGGCAAGACAATGTAATGATCTCAATATATAGGCAGGACCACGTAATGATCTCAATATATAGGCAGGACCACGTAATGATCTCAATATATAGGCAGGACCACGTAATGATCTCAATATATAGGCAGGACCATGTAATGATCTCAATATATAGGCAGGACCACGTAATGATCTCAATATATAGGCAGGACCATGTAATGATCTCAATATATAGGCAGGACCACATAATGATCTTAATACATAGGCAGGACAACATCTTTCACATGTAACTATCTCATCCAATTATATGTAATAATAAATAATAAAAATTATAATAATTATTACGCAAATTATAAACCTAAATATAATTTCTCTACACAGCAAAATTCCAAAACTGACATCGACTTGACAGGGACAAAAATTTGAACTCCGATTTGACGGAAATATTGATAACGGTTCTTGGCCGCTGCCACTCACCCCACACCTGTTGCTGGAGACTTGATGACCCTCCACACCTGTGGCTGGACACCTGGTGACCCTCCCACACCTGTTGCTGGCCCCTGGTGACCCCCCACACCTGTTGCTGGAGGCTTGATGACCCCCCACACCTGTGGCTGGACACCTGGTGACCCTCCCACACCTGTTGCTGGACCCCTGGTGACACTCCACACCTGTTGCTGGAGACTTGATGACCCCCCACACCTGTGGCTGGACACCTGGTGACCCTCCCACACCTGTTGCTGGACCCCTGGTGACACTCCACACCTGTTGCTGGAGACTTGATGACACTCCACACCTGTTGCTGGATACCTGGTGACCCTCCCACACCTGTTGCTGGACCCCTGGTGACCCCCCACACCTGTTACTGGATACCTGGTGACACTCCACACCTGTTGCTGGATACTTGATGACACTCCACACCTGTTGCTGGATACTTGATGACACTCCATACCTGTTGCTGACCCCTGGTGACACTCCACACCTGTTGCTGGAGACTTGATGACACTCCCACACCTGTTGCTGGACCCCTGGTGACCCCCCACACCTGTTGCTGGATACTTGGTGACCCTCCACACCTGTTGCTGGACCCCTGGTGACCCTCCACACCTGTTACTGACCCCTGGTGACCCTCCCACACCTGTTGCTGGAGACTTGATGACACTCCCACACCTGTTGCTGGACCCCTGGTGACCCCCCACACCTGTTGCTGGATACTTGGTGACCCTCCACATCTGTTGCTGGACCCCTGGTGACCCTCCACACCTGTTGCTGACCCCTGGTGACCCTCCACAACTGTTGCTGGACACCTGGTGACCCCCCACACCTGTTGCTGGACCCCTGGTGACCCTCCACACCTGTTGCTGGACACCTGGTGACACTCCACACCTGTTGCTGGACCCCTGGTGACGCCCACACCTGTTGCTGGGCCCCTGGTGACCTCCTATTGGTCCATACGAGGCAGCTGCTATTGGTCCATACGAGGCAGCTGCTGTTGGTCCATACGAGGCAGCTCCTATTGGTCCATACGAGGCAGCTGCTATTGGTCCATACGAGGCAGCTGCTATTGGTCCATACGAGGCAGCTCCTATTGGTCCATACGAGGCAGCTGCTATTGGTCCATACGAGGCAATTAGCCTTTCCTCAATGTTACCACATTATCTTAGAGCTACGAGCCTCATGTAAAATCTTTATCCGCCAATTTAAAACTGAAACGTTTCCGTTAAATAACGAACTGTTATCATAACAATCAGTTAAAATCCGAAAGTTCTCCACCAATGAGAGAGCAGGACGACGCCTCTCATCCACCAATCACCGCCCGGGGTTAGCCGGGCGCCCTAGGGTATATAAGGCGGCGACGGCGGGAAATTTGACCAGTTTGCTCGCGGAAGTCGCTCTGTGCACACCGGTTCTGTAGGAGCCCGTCCCTCACTCGGTGCGCGACGGTTTGTTATTGTTTGTAAACAAACTTTTGAAAACCTCGACCACGTGGGCGTGGATGGCGTAGGGATAATACGATATCCAACAGTGTGTGTGTGTGTTTATCCATGTGCCCGCGGGTGGTGGTGGCTCTTCCGGTGGATTACTTTAGAGGATGTGAAGAGGATAAGCACGTCAGCCACTGAAGGTGAGTAAGGGTTTGTTGACGTTTATATCAGCTGTTGTTGACAGTCAGTCAGCTGTTGTTGACAGTGTCATAATCAGCTGTTGTTGACAGTGTCATAATCAGCTGTTGTTGACCGTGTCATAGTCAGCTGTAAGGTGAACAGGTGCATTAGATGAAAGGAAACGTCCCTATCTATATGTGTGTGAATCCGAGAAGGAATCGAACCCGGGATCTTAGATTATGAGGCCGAGAACGAAGCCACAGGACCCCCCCTAGGAGGGGGGGGGTTCAGATTAGATAATGCTTCCTATTTCCGCTATTATTTTGCGTAAGACCTTTTGGGTACACTTTGTAAATGAATACTTTGTAAATACACTTTGGGTCCACTTTGTAAATAAATGCTTTGTAAATACACTTTGGGTACCACTTTGTAAATACACTTTAGGTCCACTTTGTAAATACACTTTGGGTACCACTTTATAAATACACTTTGGGTACCACTTTGTAAATACACTTTGGGTATCACTCTGTAAATCCACTTTGGGTACCACTCTGTAAATCCACTTTGGGTACCACTTTGTAAATACACTTTGGGTACCACTTTGTAAATACACTTTGGGTACCACTTTGTAAATACACTTTGGGTACCACTTTGTAAATACACTTTGGGTACCACTTTGTAAATACACTTTGGGTACCACTTTGTAAATACACTTTGGGTCCACTTTGTAAATAATTCAAGTCCTTGTTGTTTTTGGTATTTTAAATCACTATGCAAATATGGCATTTGTAATTCGTAATGAACTTCTTTTTGTATTATAAATTTCATAGTTTGTATTTTTTTTAACGCCAGATTCACGAAGCAGCTACGCAAGCACTTACGAACCTGTCCATCTTTTCTCAATCTTTGGCGGCTTTGTTTACAATTATTAAACAGTTAATGAGCTCCGAAGCACCAGGAGGCTGTTTATAACAATAACAACAGTTGATTGGCAAGTTTTCATGCTTGTAAACTGTTTAATAAATGTAACCAAAGCCGTCAAAGATTGAGGAAAGATGTACACGTTCGTAAGTGCTTGCGTAACTGCTTCGTGAATCTGGCCCCAGGTTCGTAAGTGCTTGCGTAACTGCTTCGTTAATCTGGCCCCAGGTTCGTAAGTACTTGCGTAACTGCTTCGTTAATCTGGCCCCAGGTTCGTAAGTGCTTGCGTAACTGCTTCGTGAATCAGGCCCCAGGTTCGTAAGTGCTTGCGTAACTGCTTCGTGAATATGGCCCAAGGTTCGTAAGTGCGCGTAACGGCTTCGTGAATCTGGCCCCAGGTTCGTAAGTGCTTGCGTAACTGCTTCGTGAATCCGGCCCCCAGGTTCGTAAGTGCTTGCGTAACTGCTTCGTGAATCTGGCCCCAGGTTCGTAAGTGCTTGCGTAACTGCTTCGTGAATCTGGCCCCCAGGTTCGTAAGTGCTTGTGTAACTGCTTCGTGAATCTGGCCCCATGTATCCTTCACTTGTGTCTTAATATTTCATAGTGTTATCTTGAAATTGATTAAGAAAATAAGAGATTAAAATTACCCCTAATTTTCCCTAACAATAACTAAGTTGTTGGAGTCATTATCCTCACTTTAATAAGACTTAATTGAATTTCTCAGATTAGGCAAAATTGTAATTAATTTTTTGTCAATAGAGATGTTATTAATAATAGGCATTCCTAGGCTTAGTCCCCCTTGAGGTTATCTTGAGGTTATCTTGAGATGATTTCGGGGCTTTTTAGTGTCCCCGCGGCCCGGTCCTCGACCAGGCCTCCACCCCCAGGAAGCAGCCCGTGAGAGCTGACTAACACCCAGGTACCTATTTTACTGCTAGGTAACAGGGGCATAGAGTGAAAGAAACTCTGCCCATTGTTTCTCGCCGGCGCCTGGGATCGAACCCAGGACCACAGGCACACAAGTCCCGCGTGCTGTCCGCTCGGCCGACCGGCTCCCCTAGCTTGATGCTAGAACCAGTTCCTTAATTTTCCGATTTATATAATTCCGGTTGTCTGGGACAGGAAGCCTGTATATATATATAATATAATGTGTATATATTTAGGTTTTTGTGAGTAGATGGCTGGGTCAGGTCTTGAAGATTGTCTTTTATGATATCGAGAGAAATCTTGAACTAGCAATGACTACGTCATGATGTAATTTGAGAGCTGTACAGAGTTATACAAATCATAGCATTGTATATACGGGACTCCACGCCGGTAGCCTAGTATATGGAACTACCCCCCTTAGTAGCCTAGCATATGGGACTACCCCCCCCCCAGTAGCCTAGTATATGGAACTACCCCCCCCCCTTAGTAGCCTAGCATATGGTACTACCTCCCCCTAGTAGCCTAGCATATGGGACTACCCCCCCCCAGTAGCCTAGTATATGGAACTACCCCCCTTAGTAGCCTAGCATATGGTACTACCTCCCCTAGTAGCCTAGCATATGGTACTACCTCCCCCTAGTAGCCTAATATATGGGACTACCCCCCCCTAGTAGCCTAGTATATGGAACTACCCCCCTTAGTAGCCTAGCATATGGTACTACCTCCCCTAGTAGCCTAGCATATGGGACTACCCCCCCCTAGTAGCCTAGTATATGGAACTACCCCCCTTAGTAGCCTAGCATATGGTACTACCTCCCCCTAGTAGCCTAATATATGGGACTACCCCCCCCTAGTAGCCTAGTATATGGAACTACCCCCCTTAGTAGCCTAGCATATGGTACTACCTCCCCTAGTAGCCTAGCATATGGGACTACCCCCCTAGTAGCCTAGCATATGGAACTACCCCCCTAGTAGCCTAGCATATGGAACTACCCCCCCAGTAGCCTAGCATATGGTACTACCCCCCCTAGTAGCCTAGCATATGGAACTACCCCCCCAGTAGCCTAGCATATGGTACTACCCCCCCTAGTAGCCTAGCATATGGAACTACCCCCCCAGTAGCCTAGCATATGGAACTACCCCCCCCAGTAGCCTAGCATATGGAACTACCCCCCCCCAGTAGCCTAGCATATGGTACTACCCCCCCTAGTAGCCTAGCATATGGAACTACCCCCCCCCCAGTAGCCTAGCATATGGAACTACCCCCCCCCAGTAGCCTAGCATATGGAACTACCCCCCCCCAGTAGCCTAGCATATGGAACTACCCCCCCCCCAGTAGCCTAGCATATGGAACTACCCCCCTAGTAGCCTAGCATATGGAACTACCCCCCCCAGTAGCCTAGCATTGAAGCCTAGCCTTATAATAGGATAATAACATTTGGCGCCAAAACTGTCCGGCCGTCATTTAAATTATGACAGCGACGGTTACTTCCCAACGGCGTTTTTTTAAGTTCTTATGGATTTACGGCTTGTTTCCTATGGTATAGGAGTATGTTAATGTCTTAAAGAGTGACTCTGAGCATGTAGGCCTACTCATTTGCATAATCTCAGTCCCCTGATAGGATTAACATGGCTGTTATCATAGTCGATGTTCCACAGAGCGGTTCAAACGCCCTTATCCTATGGTACATTGCCTTGAGGATACGCTATCATAGGGGTTTATAATACCCATATATGACTAAATAATAGTCCCCAAATGCTTGATATGCTATCTGATTAGAGTATACTCCACTCTCAGTAGCATTAAACGACCTAGTCAGAGGCGGACACAGTACTTCGACTTCAGTTCTTCATGAAATGTTATACATTCTGAGTACAATTATATGCTGGTAATGTTCTTAATTATTCAATAATTCTTTCTGCATTCATATACATGGAATTTATATCAAAGACATAACTCGGAACTCCTGGAACTAAGTATGCACATTAGGACACAAACAGACTATATATTTATACCCGCTTGTCGCTTTTGTTACTAAGTTTAGCTAGGCCTAGACCCCCCTCCCCCTCTCAGAACCTGGGAGCCAGATTCACGAAGCAGCTACGCAAGCATTTACGAACCTGGGACGAGATTCACGAAGCAGTTACGCAAGCACTTACGAACCTGGGGCCTGATTCACGAAGCAGTTACGCAAGCACTTACGAACCTGGGGCCTGATTCACGAAGCAGTTACGCAAGCACTTACGAACCTGGGGCCAGATTCACGAAGCAGTTACGCAAGCACTTACGAACCTGGGGCGAGCTTCACGAAGCAGTTACGCAAGCACTTACGAACCTGGGGGCCAGATTCACGAAGCAGTTAAACAAGCACTTACGAATCTGGGGCCAGATTCACGAAGCAGTTACGCAAGCACTTACGAACCCGTCCATCTTTTCACAATCTTTGGCGGCTTTGTTTACAATTATTAAACAGTTAATGAGCTCTGAAGCACCAGGAGGCTGTTTATAACAATAACAACAGTTGATTGGCAAGTTTTCACGCTTGTAAACTGTTTAATAAATATAACCAAAGCCGTCAAAGATTGAGGAAAAGATGTACACGTTCGTAAGTACTCGCGTAACTACTTTGTGAATCTGGGCCTTGATTTGCATAGCTTCTCTTACGTGTATCACTGCATTCTCCTAATGCGCATGAGGATCAGAAAGAATTAAACATAGGGTCTTACATTTTCATTTGCAAATGAAATTTTAATATTGCGTCCGTCGATCGTCGCTTTCTCTAAAGATGGCTGTAGTTATTTACTTTGGCCGACAGTTGGATATGTCAGATGTTTAATATCCCTCTTTAATTACTCTGTAGTTGGCTAGTATGCAAATTCGCAAATTTAGATTTCAGCTAGGCTATTTTAAGGTGGATTTGGCTAGCCTAGTCCATAGCTGCTCCCAAGGGTACAGTGCCCTGGGGTACAGTGTTCTGGGGGTACAGTGTCTTGGGGTACAGTGTCCTGGGGTACAGTGTTCTGGGGTACAGTGCCCTGGGGTACGGTGCCCTGGGGTTACAGTGCCCTGGGGTACAGTGTCCT